AAGCTTTGGTCCGGATTGTTTGATTCATCCCAGTGACAATAAAAAAAGTAAAACTATGCTTTCTAAAAAATATATTTCCATTGATAAGCTACTCCATCTTGATGTGTCATTTTTGATACAATCTCTCTTTATCCTCCAGGCCAAACAGCCGGTTTCTGCAACTGCTCCAGTCTCACAATAACTATGATGAATTCAACGTCCACAGGAGCCAAGCAGCCATTTGACACTTCATCCCCCTTGATGCATTATCAACTAATATACCATGGATCTGTGGCAGCTTGTCTGAAGCCCCCTGATTTGGTGTAACTGGCCTCTGCTGAGACCTCCCATTGAACAAAGGTGGTTGTAATCATATCTCAAGTTGGCAATGTTCAACTTCAAATGTATTTGGTTAGTGTGGGAGATCAGAGATAGAATCTCTTTTACCGATGAGGAAATATGACTCTGCCCAGAGGACATTTAAATCTCTCTGCGAGATTTGACTATAGTCAAATCTCTGCTATTTGACTAAAATTACAGAGAGGTTTTTTAAAAGTAAAGTAGATTACAAGTCCAAAGAATCTTTTTCATCTAAGGAATAAAAGAATCTGCAACACATCCAATGTCCTCGAGAATGGAGATTGATCCGTATCCATTGAGACAAGAATGTGGATGCATGAAGCCAGTGGAAAGTGGGGGTAGACTGATGACTGAGAGATAGAAGCTCTGCCATGAAATGAAAGGGGTGACAGACATGAAGAGATATAAAAATATCACCGGAGAGGGATTCAAGAGAGAGAGAGAGAAAGGGAAAGGAAAACAGGAGTGACCATCAAGGCTCTCTGATGCTTGTTAGCTGCCAGCTGGGAAGAGATGAATCACCACCAATAAAACGTATGGATGGGAAATAGAGCGTTTGAGGTTTTGCAGAATTAAAGCATTTATCTGGGGTGAGATAAATAAAGCGCCAAGGAGCTATGAAGTTAATCCTGATTCAAGGCATCAAAATGATTTTATAATGGTGTGTTTACAGGGGGATAGAGAACACATTCTGAGGTCTCTCCATCTCATTCACACGTCTTCAAACGAGCCAACAAGCTGTCATAAATCTGACTTTAGTCTTATTTATTTAAAAGGGTAGCTTAAACAAAAAGATTTTCAATTTATTTAGGAATACCGGTTTGTATTTTGTTCATAGATCTACAAAATAAAGGTGCATTTAGTCTGCTTTAATTGAACTCTAGTTCATTTATCTCAAAATTCTGGTTTGTTTGGGAAGATGTGAATACGCAAGTGAACTAGAAGGAGAAATCCTACACAAGCTAAATTCCATTTTTATTTGTATTTTGAGAAGAAGGAAGTTGGACTCATGTCTTCTTCAGAGGTTTTTGTGTCTCTTCCTTCTGTAGTTCTTGGTGCAGCGCCATCACAGGCAAGAGGGGGAAAACGTTTGTCAAGTAGTTTGGATTGTTTGATGCTGTGCAATGTGAAAGTGAACTGCATAAGCTGAAAATCTAACAAATGTGCAATTTTGGTCCCCAGAGCCTTGCACAGGACTCTGGGGACCGAAGCCCTGTTCTCTCTGTGGTCTTTTAGACTCTGTTCAAGAGTAAAAACATCCTAGTGTCTTTCCTGTAACTTACCAGGTTTTTCACTTTTACTTCAGTCAAATCTACAAGAATTGTGATCAAGACGAATTTAGCTAAAGGGAACTAGCACTAAAAATTTGATTCTAAGAAATACATTTGTGACAGCATATAGTACACCCCCATAGAATACTCATCCAGTATTCTTGGATTCATCTATTTGTGGATTTTTCTGTGGAATGAATGTAGCTCCAAATTATTTGCAGAACACCCAGTGCAGATTTTTTTTGTGCAATATTCAAAATAATATAGCACAAGGGAAACTGACAGTTTGCTAATTTGTATAAATACAAAAAAATCGTATTTTCAATACTAATTTGATATTAGATTGAGACAAGCGTGATAATGGCTGACAATGAAATAGCCAAATTTCTGACTGCAGTTTTGTGACAGTATTTGTAAAGGTGAAAAAGGAAAGGGTCGCTGGGGAGTCCTTAGTTTTCCACAAAATATTGTAAAATCAGCATTGTGCATTTATTTAGAAAAATAAAACTCAAACATACATTTAATGGCATTTGGCTTCAGTGCCAAATGTCAAACTCAATTCTAGATGAATCCAGTTGGTACAAGGAAAAACAGCAGGACAGAAATATGTAAAACTCAAAGATTGTTAGCATTGCTTTGCACCAAGCATGATTGTAAAAAACATGATGTAGAGTACTTTGTTTTGACTATATAAGCTCCCTTTCCCCCACTCCCAAATTTAAGACACCCCATTACTAAAAAAAACTTTGATTAAAATGGCTGAAAATAATTCAGGTCGTATGTTTTTGTTAGAATCACCTTAGTGTGCGATCAATCCAAATTACAAGTAGAGAGATATTTAAAAATCAATACTAATTTTCTGCTTTTTCTGTTTTTGCTCATGCTTTATCTCCTGATCACATTGAACCCAGATCTTTACTTTTTAATAGATACAAATAAACACAAGTACCTAAGTGTATTCCGGATCGACCAGAACTTTTGCCACTAATTAACAACAAGAAAACAATGGAGAAAAGAAGCAATCAGTGGCTTATTTTCATCTGCAACCTTCATATGCATCAGCAGCAAGTGCAAAAAATGTCTTTTTGTACTTCACACAGCTGCAGGCCCAAACATTCACAATATTTATCTAAAAATAAACCTCACTAAGCGTGGAGAACAGCAGAGATAAGAGGAGAGAAGATAGGGGTAAAAATCTGAATTTTGAATATAAATTGGTACATTAACTATCTGATTCAGTTAAAGGGACAATCAGCAGCTTCTTCAACATTATCTTTTCATGCTCAATTTTTGAAATATGACTTGGCTGCCCTGGATGTCAGAAAGTCTTTATTGCCAACCAGAAAGACGGTTTATACTTCTAAAGTAAGAAAAGCAAGTTTTTGATACAATTCTATGAGGAAGCAACACAATATAAATCTATAACATAACACAAATGTAAAATAAGTTCATATGACGCAATGAAAAATGTACATACACTCGTCAGTGGCATGGATTATTTTGGGGGTTTGTGCACAATTAATTGTAATTGATTTTTTTCTATGGACAAAGTTTATAAATTTGAGCTCCCAAAGCTACAAAAGAGGCAAAATCTGATCTATTTGGTGTCAAGAAATGTATATGAAATCAATCTGGGACTTTTAAATGTAAGAAATTGCAGGAAATAATGAAAGTTACCCTAAAACTTGAAGAGCAAGACTGTTGAAACATGGACAGAACTGAGTGTCAGCATGTACAGTAGAGGGAGAGTTTATATGCAGAAAGATGCTTTTCTTGGGAAGATTTAATAAAAAGAAAATCTACATGTCTTGAATGAATTTAAATGAACAAAGAACATGGATATGGCATTAAAATAGAAGAATTCAGCACTGAACAGCAAAATTCAGACTCCTAAATATTGAGGAAAAGTTGTAAAGTGATGAAAGAACTAGAAAAACTGATCAGACGAAATGTGGTAAAGTTGTGGCTAACAGAGGAGACGTAACACAGAGGAAGATTAAATGAATCTCACAGTAATCGAAGAAAATTCAATTCAAATGTACAAGAAACAAAACACAGGAATAAAGAAACAAACCAAACCTAAGGGAATAAACTAGTATGGCAACACCTTGACAGCAATAATAAGCACAACGAAATGAACTGAATAAATGACCTATGGTACATAAATAAACCAAAAGAAAATGATCAAACACTAACAAACACTCGAGGAATGTGGCACTAACAGGATAACAAGCAAGCATCTTTATAATAGGGAGTCAATAAAGCAGTGGGTTTCTGGAGAGTCCTCAAACACAATCATAAAACATAATGAACCAGGCCTGAAAACTGGCTCCGTTCCAGGAACTACACTAATTTTGAATATGTTTATCATTTCTGACGGTCAAAGGTGATTTAAAACAAACAAAATATTTTCAGCAAGAACAGAAATGAATACTATGATAACATAGTGATCTATCGGATTTTGTAAGTTTCCGATACGTTAATTGATTACATTTAATTTACATGGAGGCACATTTTTTAAAATAAAAATTCCAAAAGATGGTTAAAATTGAGAAAAAACTCAGAAAAAGTATCCTTAGACTTAGACTTTCAGAGCATAGCCTACAGATGCAGTGTTTGGGTCAAGCATTGCACAAAGTGTCAGAAACATCTGTTCCATCTGTTTTGTGCTCCACTGGACAGTATGCCAAGATATCACAGCACACAGCTCCAAAAATGAATCACTGACACGTCTGTCATAGTTGATAAAAGCAGGAACAATAATAATCCTGTTGAAACGGCACAGAAAGAGAAAAAATTGGGTTGGAATGCAGCTTTGTGCGCTCACTCACATGCGCTACCGACACTGTGGCTCACAGAAATCCAGCCTTTTCTGTGCTTTTCAGCCTCTGGCAGAGGTATTTTATGCTTCAGACAAACTGCTGCCACTGTGTCCTTTGAGGGGAGAAACACATAGTGTATGTGTGCGTGTTTGTGTGTGTATGTGTGGAGGGGTTAGGCTGTAAGACTGGCTCATGACCAGGCTAAGGAGCGAAGTCATCGCTGGCAGAACAGAGTTCACTGGGATGTGACAAGTATGATCTTCGGGAAACAGATGCGGTGGTTCAGTCGCACTCCGGCCACTGTGAACTTCCTGCTATTTGCCATCACATCTTTAAAAGTTATAAATATAAACAATTACGTTCTCCCGGTCAGCAATCGTTTACGATTCACGCCCATCAGCTCATGCCTGCACACCCTGCTCTATATAAAACCCCTATGTACATTTCTCTGTCAGCTCACTTAGCTTTTGGGCATTTCCTTTATTTTTGTTTATCTTTAAATCCACAATCTACTTTCTGCCATTTAGCAAGGCTTACTTTGTTAAGTGTATCCATTTGAGGAGCAGAAATGTCCTTTGGGGAATATGACAGGGTTGGTCCTCTAAACCCTCTGAGAAAATGGGTTTCCAGTCAGGATGTTGGCCTGCCGCCTTTCCTGGAGACTGGGGATTCTCGTTGGATCAAGAAGGGCTTGGCAGCCTGGCCCTGGCCGGGTTGCTTACCAGCGCCTCTGTTTGTGCCCTACATCTCTGAGCCGATGCCTCATTCCGGTCAGAAGGTGAGCAAGTGGAGGGTCAGCATGGATGTGTCTCACTTTTCCCCCTCGGAGATCTCTGTCAGTGTCAGGGATGGATTCCTGGAAGTTGGAGGTACTGCTCTGTTAATTAACCCCTCTGAAAATGTCTGGCATGAGTGTTAATTAGTTTTACTCACAAGGCAGATTTTTAATCCTGATAAAGCATTAATAATCTTATCTCACATCATCATCTGAGCAAGGAGAAGAGTCTTCTAAAAATACTTTCCCTGCACTTCACAGAATAAACATACATCTGAAAGAGCGATGGAGAAAAAGCTGAACGCTACAAATTTGGAAAGCTGCTTAAATATCGTGCTTGGGGAAATTAAAATCACAGCTCTGTGGAAGAAATTAATTTCTGCGCTGAGTGGTTTCTCAGTGTCAGTTGATTCTTCTGTGTCCTCGTGTTCCTCCCTATAAACACTAATCTTTCCCCAGGGAAACACGAGGAGAGGCCTGACGAGCATGGATTGATCTCCAGATGTTTTACAAGAAAATACAGGTAGACAAAGAAGCCACAGATATTCACCTGCTAATATTTAGGATTAAGCCATCATTGATGTTGGTCCCCCTTTTTATTTTATTAATAACTGATTTCTGAAATGCTCAAGCAAGAAAAATAAAATAAATCTAAATCTGTTTCAGTGTTAACAGTGTTTTGTGTGGTGATCTAAACAAGAGTTTGTGATTTGAAGGCTTCCAGCTCAAGTGAACGTTACCAAACTTGAGTCTTCACTCTCCGTTGATGGTTTCCTGACTGTAGAAGCTCCACTTCCTGAAGCCTCAGCTCCTGCTGCCATCATCATCCCAATAAAGGTGATCAAATATGAAACCTCTTTAAAGCTTAACAAATTGCAAAGTATGATTTTCATTTCTTGAATCTCGAATCTGAAAAGATTAAAAACTCGGATGAGCTGAAAACAAGGCCTAAAAATGGAAATAGCAATAATTAAATCTTATTTGTGGAAATAATTTATGTCAAGACTTGCAAGATAATATATTGTGCAAAAATGACAAGCTGCAATTAGCTTGAGAAATCTGTTGCCTGGCAACATTAACACAAAAAGCAAGAAAAGTTATGCTTTGCCAATTTGTCCCCTGCTGAAAAAGTGCTTTTTGGTAATAAAACATATACTGTTATATTGAAAGCCTGTTATTTTCTTTTAAGTGGTACCACATTTCTGAGGAAAATTATGGGTTTTCATGGCAACAAAATGCCATAGAAAGTTTTAATGGCTTTCTTTCCAATAAGTACTTCTCGGATTCAGCTTGTTTCTTCTTGTCATAGTGACCGACATTCATCATTTGTGGCTGACTTGCAACAACTGCCACCTGAAACGTAGGACGTCATCCCACAGCACTGTTTGGCCTCATTGTTTCTAGGGTGTTTAGACTTCCAAAAGCCCCGTCTGGTCACTAACTAACTTCCTAAAACCTGGAGATAGTAAGATCTTTTAACTCTGCTAAACTTCCACAGCGGGTGTTGGAATCCTGCCAATCTAAAACTCGACATATAAAATTTACAACTATTAGCAGAAAGATGCACAGATACTGTTACACACTGCTATTTAATGTGAAAATAATAGGTAAACATATTACAAAGAAGTTTTGATGTGTTTTCACTATGTACTGACCTGAAATATAGTAAAACACGCTTCAGCCATGACAGCCGAAATTCCGCCTCTAGAATCCAGATTTCTTCTCAGGCAAACAGGAAGTCCGCCCTAAAACCAGCCCGGAAGAAACAAACAAAGGTTCCTCAGCTCGTCCTCAGGAAAGCAATGTAAAAATGCAAAAATGCAAACAAAACATAATTTGTTCATATGTAGAAATAAATACAACAAATTGGATTTGAGAAGTATTTCAAATATATAAAACAAACAAAAAATAATAATGGTGACATTTTTATGTGCACACTCATATCCTAATACTATGGTTATTTAAATTGAGTTTTTTTTTTTTATCATTACAGTAAAACCGTAAGCAACATCTTCACTTTTGTATTTATTTTCTTTTTTGTCTGCAAATTCAGGTGGAGGCTGAGGGCGATGGAGAACCAGAAATAAAACAAGATCAGGAGGAAGAGTCTCAATTTGAGGCCTGCAGTGATCAGGTCCAGCCCAGCAGCACCGCAGCTGGCCTGGAGCAGGGAGACAAGGAAACCAGAGAAAAGCCAGCTGGACAGTCCCGTTCTTCACTGGCTGAGGAAGATAAATGCTTAGAAAGCATCCAAAAGTCTTCTGAGCACCACAAAGTCCCAGAAAGCCAAGAAAGCCTGGGTGCATCCAACCTACTGGAAAACAAAGAGCCAGTTGTGGATGAAGAGATCCAGGTGAAGGCGGAGGGAGCTGTGGAGCTTGCTCCGCGTGAGGAGCAGGAGCTGGGATCAGCTCCACTGAGTGACGTCCAAACCCAGGAGCTGGAGGCTGCTAACATAGAGCAACAGCACACCGACTAAACACAAGAGTATTAGCCTGCATTGCCTGCCTTAAACCTGCTCCACTGATGCCTTTTTGTCATTAGCTGTAGCGCCATTAAAGCCTGCTGTGTTTGGAGCTCTAATAAAGAAGCAATTTAATGTGAAAGTAAAAATTTGTGTTGATCTATTACATCTAAAGTTAACCACTGAAAACAACACGGTACAAGATCAAAATAACAACCTCCTTATTATTAATTTTTTCAATCAGAATAACGTTTATGCAATTCTACTTGCACATCGTTTTCTTTGTCACTTTGACATCAATAAGTTGCTCATTGAAAAGCATAATTTATTCACTTATGCTGTTACTATAGAAACAGCATAAGTGAAGTCCACACATGTAACCTGATGGCAGTAAATCTAACAGTTCATGTGAGTGCAACACATAACACAATGTCTTTGCCAACACAGAACCAATGAGTCGTTCGTTTTTAGCCTTTCACAGCGCAGCTCCGGTTGGAAACTTTTTAAATTTGCACCAATTATCCCCGTCGATTCCAGCACACAGAGAAGATTAGGTTATTTTGCATCACACAATAGGCAGTGGAGCAGCCCCAATTTTTTTCCTTCCTCAGTCAAAAGCCCTGGCAGGACGCATGAGTGAGTTGGGTCCATCCTGAAGCCAGCGCACAGCGGTGCCTATCTGAGCCAGCACTAAGCCCCGGGCTAAGCTGCTGCCCAGTTCCTATTGCTGTCCAACAATAACGCCACAGGTTCTAAAGATCCCTGGAACAGGGCCTGTGACCGGTATTGTTTTTTTTCTTTATTTTCAAAGAAAAACACACAGATGTAGGACGGATACTTTAATTGCATTTCTCAGTAAAAAGACATTAACAGAGAGGATTGCAGAAAACAAACTGCTTTTCACAAATAAGTCAATTGTCCATCAAGCAATCATGCAATCATTAACAGAAAAATGCACACTTCAAATTAATACATCAAACAATTTTGCACCAATTAAAATGTATATATACAACACAGTATTAATGCATACAAAGATGAACCATCCAGGTCCACTTTATGATAAAGACATTAAGGCACAATCATTCCCTGTTTCACTAACAGTTCCTTGTTAAAATGTATGAATTAACTTCTACTCAAGGATTTCTAATCCAACCAAGCTGCACACACAAATTAACTTACAACCTGATTTTAACGCCCCCTGCAGTTTGCATTTGTAAACAGTATCATCAGTAAGCGGGCATATTACAACACCTGATGATGCAATGAAGGCCTGTGGTAACTAATGGGGAGGAAAAAATCTACTAAAGAGATGTAAATAGGCATGAATGCTAAATGACACAATTTAAATACATTAATGCATTAAAATATACTAATATATTACCAGATATGGGATTTTACAATATTTGGATAAGAAAAATCAATTAAACTAAACAAAGTTGAACAAGTTGTATATTGGGTATCCTTGGAGTTTTTGGTCTTGCAGATGCTAAAAAGCATCAAGGTCTCTTTGTGTTTTCAGACATATGTGTTTCAATGTGTTTCTAATCAGTCTACAGCCAATGTTTGCTTTTATCTTTCAAATGCTATTGATCAATAAGGCGCCCCTGACAGAGTGGCACCATTGGTGTTAAGCCATATTGCTTATAGACAAACAATATACGGAGAAAAGTGTTACTTTTTAAACAATTGTTAGTTTTGTTCAGTGCACACAGCGTAATTAAATCACATCACTCATGTTTTTTTCATCAATTATTTATGTTTTATTATAAAGGAGACATTCTTTTAGTAAAAAGCAGACATAAAATAAATAATAAACTACTTATTGAAAATATTTATTGTAGACAGAAAGAAATAAAAAAAGTCAACCAATTTTCTTTATCTTTCTACTTATTTGGATTTTGCATAGGTGTTACAAAATAAATGTTTCAATTGTGACTTATTGATGATGCAATTACATATTTTCTTTTGGAAAATAAATGTTATATGACTTGATAGTCTTAGTTGTACTTGAGGAAGAAAATGTATTACTATAACATGCCTGTTAGGAAGAGCTTTTTGTTGTATGAATGTACTGTTTTATGAAATATTAACACAGACATCCAATGGGAATTTCCTGCCCTAATATATTTCAGATTTTCTTCTCTAAGTGTTTAAATAAGATGATAGTTCAGTGAGCAGTTTTTATTTCAAACTCATAACTGATTATGCAGATTTATGTGATTGTGTTATTCGGGGGGTGCCAGTTTAGACTGCTGGGGCCTCTTGGGGTTTCGGAGCCTCCACATCCTGAATTTCCCCTCCTGGGGAGTCTTCGCTGCTAAAGAGGTAGTACGGTGGAGTCTGCCGAGCCTCAATGATGAGGACACCCTCAGGCGACAAGGAAGCAAAAACTGTCAGGGGGTCCACATCGGTGGGGATCCTGAAGAAACAGAGGAGAGGGAATGTAAATGTCAGGGCATCGTTTAAGTTTGTTTACAGAAAGGTTCTTGCAAAATGCTGCAAGATATGTGGGAAACACAAAAGAAGCCGAATGGGGCGGAAAAGATGAACAGAGCAGGGAATTTGTACAAAACTCTGTGACATTTCTTTCTGTGGAAGCAAACATTGTGCAGCACTGCAAGACTTTATTGTAACTTTGTCAATGCCCATAAAACAACCTCCAGTTTGAAGGATTTTTAGTGCTGCACGTCTGAAGAAGATTGTTAAAAACTTTCACTGTGCCCTTGTTGGCTTTCATAGATTTAAGATGCTACAAAAATCTCTCATCCAGCAAATCTAGTTTGTAATAAAAACTCACCCTTGTTCAACCACTGCAGATAGCAAGAAAGAAAACAACTGCAAATTTCAGGAAATTAGATAATCATAAATCTAGGTAAGTTAAACACCTGCTCATTTTCAGGACTGTGTGTTCTTCTCTCATCTATAGCAGCTATTTTCCAACGACAGAACTGGATAACTTGCTTTGGAAATAAGGTGAAACAGAATTGCAACATCCAGAAAATATTTCATAGTCTAAAAGTTTACAGCAGACCACGGTTTGAATGTAATGCTGGAAAAATGAACTCTAAAAGCTGCTGCAGCTGCACTCACAGACTTAAACTCCCCTCTTTGTCAGCCAGTATGGCCTAATATGGATACGTTAGGTGTGCTTGGTGAGCAGCCAACTGTTCTTGGGGAGTTAATATAAACACTGGGCTGCCATCAGTATGTTCAGCAGAGGAGGCGCCCGGTCTACCCTCCGTTTAATTAGAGAGGACCCTCCACTGGCTTACTTCTCTTCTGTGAAATGCAAGTCAGAGTGGGCTGACGAACCTCAGACAGAGACATCACGTCATGTCTATATCTGTGTTCAGATACCACATACTGTATCCTACTGAGATGTGAAGGTCTACTTCAGAGACAGTTTTTAAGATCAATGTTATCGTCTAAAATAAAATAATGATGCGACTACTCTGTGCATCAACAGGGCCATAGCGGATCCTATTTTTGACAGCTAGGATAACGGCAGCCCCAAAGAGATAAAATGCAACCCAAGGGCAGTGAAGTGTCACTTGGGAGGACAAATGGCGGCCCACAGGCTTGAAGACAAACACTGAGAATTTATGGGAAATACAGAAAAAGCACTGCAGAAACTGGAACTGAATATTACTTTTTGTGAAAAACAAAAAAGGTTTTTCTATTTTCACAAACTGTCAGTCTGACATTTTGTGAGGTAGGATGCAAAACAAAACGTAACAAGCTGAGAGGAAAAACACTCTGTGGACAAATAAAATTCAAATATATGGATACAACATCTGAATAACCTGCAGTTTGAGCTGATTCCTATGTCCAAACTTTCACAGTAGGTGGTACAATTTGACACATTAAAAGAAGAAAAATAAAATCATAGGAAACAGTTAATATGGCACAGAACTTGTGGACAGAGACCAATAATTCATTCAAAAATGCACATTTTGTGCTTTGAGAGACAAAGAGATAATGGCACCATAAACATAGATATAGTTATAAGCAAGACATATTTCCTCAGTAAAGGCATTTTATCTTCATGCAATCACTGCTAGTTTAAGATGGAAATTAATAATGCCAATAAAGATATCTAGACAACTGTTAACATTTTATGTTGTGTCATTATTTATAAAAATATATATATATTTTTTTATCACTAGTTACTTTCATGCCTTTTTAGTGAGACCCTTGGTATAGACCTGAGATTGAAAAGTGAATATAGATAAGGTCTTATCGGTGCTGACCTTGTTCAGTTCTGCCTTCTTAAAATAACATACTGAGCTTTTCACTATCCCATCTTGAAAGACGCCACTACTTTGTGGTGGAATACCTGCTTTTTCACATACCATCTCATCTGTTATAATTAGGACTGGGCAACATGGCAAACATATAATTACAAATTAAATTGCATTGACTTTGTGATTTATCAAAATTCAACATGTAAAGACAGAAAAAAAATGCAGGCCAATTTCTGAGTGCAAGTAATGCAACTTTCAGGCAAAACTCCAACTTTCTTCTGCTAAAGCCCTCAAACATCAACACACATCTGCATAAAAACATTTTCCCTTGACATTTTGAAGAACGGCATAGAGAAATTGACCTCTTTTTAATCATGATATTTACACCTCCAGAGAAACAGGAAGGGTGTAAAGGATATAATGAATGATTCAGTTAGATACTTCTCAAGAGTTGTGCCATTAATTGTGTCACATATGATATACAGTAGTTCAAATTTTCTTTTCTTACAGCCATACTGAAGTCAAAAGCTGATTTTTTCCCCTAAATATTTCAGTGTGAGATTATGCTGCTGCAGCAAAAAATAAATAAATAGGAATAACACATTGCACACACTTTTCCACAGGCCTAAAAAACAATGTAGAGCTCTATCTTGTGTACAGTAGATTTCATACCTCTATCAATTATTTGCAAAAATACTATAGTCTGCATAAAAAGTTAGAGCCTGATATTACTATTCATAGACTCACTGCAGCATTCACTCTGGTGACAAAACAAGAAATGAAGGTGGGTGTGAGCCAGTAAAACAATGCTAATAACCTTTATGAGTTTACACACCACCCTTCCTCACCTTTCTTCACGCAGCCAATTTCCACAAAGCAAAGCCTCGACTTCTGACAAAGTCAAATCACTCTGGTGGTCCGTGATGTCGGCCCCGAGCACAGACCTCATCCGTCTCCAGTTTGGGGAGCGTGTTTGACTTTGGCAAGTGTGCAGTTTATCTCAGGCATTGATTTTGTACAGCTGCCAGAAAACCATCAAGCAAGCTTTTACCTCGTAGAGATTCTGAACCCCGGAGAGACAAGATACAGAAACAGAACAAGGTGTGTATGCATGTGAGTGGAACCTATAACCTCTAGCAGACATTTCATCCTGGATTATCACGTCTCTTGTTGAGACACTGTAATGTGTTGTTGGGAAAGTAAATGTCCTGCTACCTTTGGCCCCACCTCTGAACATTTTTTTTGTTAATAACTGATGTTCTTCTTGCTTGTTTGAAACATGATACACACAAACTTTATGGTTAGACTTTGGTCTAGGCCAGGGGGATCAGTTGGCATTGATAATTATTGATTAGTTTTTTTTGTTTTAAATACCTGAAATGCTGCCAAACTGGTGACATGACCTTTGCTATTTTAGTTAAAAATACAGCCTCTGCTGCACTACACATGTAACTCAAAAGTGCTTATCAGGCTATGTGTACAGTCTGTTGAGCCAGTGGATTTCTGCATTGGGGGCGGTTATTTATACATGACCTGTTATCATCCCATCCCCCACTTCTCTCTCTTCCAACCCTTTAAATATTTAGCTTGTCACTGACTTGAGATTCTTATTAACTCAGGAGCCATACTCAGACCCAAACTGACGAAGTTCCAATTTTGTATATGAATAGCACAGGGCTGCGGGGCACCTGCTTAATTAGCTAGCAGAATATTAGCAGAACTCGACTGACGAGCCTGTAAAAGGCTGATTCACACCAAGGATTTGGTTCCTGTGTTTGAAGTCCTCCTACTGTACAATTAAATGAGACAAGATGCAGAGACAGGCAGGTTGAGTTAATTGTCTGTGTTACTAGTTTGGCTTGAAGGAGCTGCAACATCGGCACATTGTGGAGGAGTCTCTCAATCTGCACAAACTTTTTAGAAGTGGCCCTGCTCAAAAAATAACGAAGTTTAAATAATTGGTTGGAATGTTTCTTTGCTTTGTCGTCTGGTCTTAAAGCAGAATCAAAGACATCCTTCGCTCTTCCCTTAAAGCAATTGTTTGAAAAAATTCCTGTTATACATATATATATAATCATATAATGCCCACTACCTCCAAACTAATGACTGCTGGAAATAGGAACAAGTCCCCCTGCAATCCTGCAAGAATAATATGGACCTAAAGGGACAGCTTTGCTATCTTTGTTACTAATCCTTAAACTAGACATAAAAAATTTACTTCATGAATGTATATATGTAACCTTTATTTAACCAGGTATGTCTCGTTGAGATTAAAAATCTTTTTTTAAGTGAGACCTGACTAAAACATAAACTTAAATCATCCGAAAGCAGACACTACATTGTGGAAACACCAACTGTGTTATAACTGATGGATTTTATGTTGAAATGCAGCAAAGCAGATTTTAGGTGCAAGTTTAAATGTTTTGCAGCAATGTCAGAGGCAGTGTCCCCAAATGAACTGAAGGACTGTTTTTCTTCAGCTGAGCTCCCTATGAGTAAAAATCATGTTACTATCCTGTGAATCTGAAGCTGTAGCATACACTGTTTGATCTCCAACACAGCTATGGTACCACAGATTCTTCAGATATGTTGAAAATCTATGCTACATGTTTACATGTCTACTTGTTTAGCCCCTATTATTTAAATATTTTCTTTAACAACCAAGCAAGAAAATAAATGTGCATAAAACCTTTCATTCCAGGTTATAATTATCTCAGAAAATCATTTGGGAGGGGAGTCAATCTTTAAATATATATAAAAAAAAAACTCAAAGCAAAGAAAAGCAATAAACTGCAGGTAATAATTTGCTCTAGAGCAGAAAAAGACCACAATTTCTACACCTTTGATCCCAACATACATGCAATATTTCAGAGTTGTTCATTTTCAGTGCTTAAGAGTCAATATCCTGCATCTTTTAGATGTATCTCTGCTCAAAAACAGGTAAAGTTATTGACTAAAGTACCTCCTCAGGAAGCCAGTAGGTTTGTAAAGTCCATCATGAACCCTTCATCTGATTGAAGTGTGCTGAACTATGGAAACAGCTAAAATTCACATCATACTGTCTCTGTTTGGACACACCAGCAGCATACAAATAGTACAGCATCTAAGGAACACAAATCCTTAAGGGATATCACAGGAAATATAATGAAAAAAAAACACACAACCTTTTTCTAATATTTAGACCCACATAATTTGTTTTTCAAAGCAACAACATACACAGTGTGCAATAATTAATGACAGATGTGCAATTATCCTGTGCTTTTTTTTTGCCAGCAGTGATTTAACCTAGATCCCCTATGAAACTTTTCCATTAGTAATACAAGTGCAATACCTTCATTGTCCAACTGAAACTTTACACTTTCTGAACATAACACAGTCACTCTATAAGTCATTAAAGCTCGTCAACTTGTTCGCCACTAAATTGAGCTATACTTTTATTAAGAGAGGGTAAAATCAATGCGTAATTGCTCAATTTCTTTCTCTTTTCTTTTGCCGTGAAGTATAACGGCAGCCTCTTTCTTCACAGTTTTCAGACAGCTACCTCTTATTATTAAAGATAAACCGTCTCGGTTATACTCACTGTATTTTCTTTGTGAAATTCTTTGTCACAATCCCTCCTTCCTCCTGTTTTTCTTCATGTTTTCCTGGTTGGGGAAAAACAAAGATCAGCCATATTTAAGATGCTAATTGCCTCAAAGGTCGCCCTCTTGGTGGCGCCACTACAACATTGTCCAGTGATTACGCAATCTCATGGACTGCACATTGGAAACCCAACACCTGTGACCGTTTAAATTTCAAACATGGACGTCAGTGAAAGAGGTGCTGATTTAACTGGAGTTCACTTGGCACACCCACTGTTTCCATTACTCAGTCCCTGCTCTGCCGTTGTTTTAAGCCAAACTACATCAACCCCGTTTTCTTGATTGATTCTCGGAATGACTCTTCTGCAGACACAGACGTCTGTCCTGCCGGGAGGAACATGCAGTCCTGGACAGACCCTGCTCCACCTTCTCCCTGGTCATTACGGGCAAACAGCTTTAGTTGACCAGCAGCTGCTCCTCGACAGCTAAAATGTCAACGCTGCTGGGAGGAGTGTGGCTTGTCACTGCGCTCAGCCCCTTTGAGCACTTTAGGTTAAACTCTGTGTTACCCTACACCCCTGCTGTCACGTCTCTACCTGCTAACAGAGCTGGACTTCACTATAAGCTAAGGCTGAAGCCCCTGAGGAGGAATGAGTTATGATCATCGGTGAGGTCATAGGATTATTATCAAGAACTCAGCATGACTTTAGATGTAAAACTCATCCCCAGAGAGAGATATTCAACCTCATTCTTCCTCCTCAACGTCTCCCAAAATGCATCACTCTGTGTAGAGAGAGGGTGTTGCCAACATTCACAGTTAAACTGATGTTTGTGGCTGTAAGTATGGCAAGCTCTCACAAGGCTAGCCCACTGAAGCACTTTGTACAAAAACATTTCTTGGAAAAATAATCCATTGGTTATGTTTGTGTCGTTACTGGACCAACGACGAAACACAAAAAACCCCACTCTGATTCAAAATACAAATAGAAAGCAGTGGTCAAAAGACTTTTACTCTTAGGGTGCCAGACTTCTCCAAAGCAAATGCTTTCATCCTTTCAAACTAATTAGTCAACACTCAATTAAAAGACAAACTGTAATTATTTTAAACAACTTGTAAGTCCAGATGCTTATCTTCTTTAAATAGCAGACTATCAACTGTACTGCACAGAAAGAAACAACTCAAGTCACAAAAAATAACATATTAGCATTAAGTTTTAATTATTTATTGGGCTGCTGTAACTGTAACAGAGTCTGTATTTTTTTACACAGTTCTAATCCAATTTATTTTAGAGATTAGATTCATTTTTGCTAAAGGCAAACATAGATGGATAGATAGAACTAAGTTATCTTTGGACAAAAGATATAAAAGACTGAGCTACATTTTAATCTGGAGGACTGTTTTGAACTCCATACTCCAAGAATTTAGTCTAGAAAAACAAAGTTTCTAAATCAAGCATCTTTGGTGCTTTGAAAAGTATTGCAGTCCAGTTTGAGGAACTACACAGTTTCAAAGCCTTTCTGGTGCTTCCGATTGTTTCTAAAACATTTGCGGAAATGGAATAAAAGATTTTCCTTTTACATACGACCCACTGCTGAAATGCAAAAAAAATGTAGTGTTCTTACTTTATCAATGCCGACCAGCAAAGTTTATGAAAAGGTGGTTGGGTTTCTTTTTTAGAAGATAGAAGGAAAAGCGAATCAGGGACTAAAGATTTGAGTTCTTAAATATCACCAAGAGAAGTTCATCTCTGAAAATTGAGTTGTGCTTTAAAAAGTAGGCACTTTGCTTGCTTTGCCATCTATTCCAAACTTCCAATGAGATTTATTTTTGGAGGGTTGACCAATTCACTCTGTATGTAATATATTGCAGAGCCAAGAACTATTAGTTGGACAAGCACTTGAACAGAGTAATTGAGAGCTTGAAAGCTTTTTCAGTTCCATACTTTTGATCCACTTGATTTGAGTTCATTTTGCTAGGAAAGACAATTATGTCCAACATTCCACTTCACTCTCCTTTGTCAAAATGAGGTGGAGCAATTGTCCTTATTTCTGAATTGTAGCAAACTCTAGATTATCTTTGTCTTTAAAAAAAATCTTACTAGTTTTATTGCCTTCCCTGCCACAGAAGAGCAGGTTGAGCAGACATAGGCTGACACACCAACAATGTGTTTATAAAAAACTCACAGCTGAACGGTCAGGAGGAAGGCAGCTGTCCTCAGTGCCCCCTTTTAACCTGGGTATCCCTGGAATTAATCTTTTAAAGCATCGGCAGGAGGAAGTTTCTGCAACTTAGTCCCGCAGTGAGGGAGAAAACCTGCAGGAGTTTTGCTGGGTTACAGAACTGGCCCCCATTCCTTCCAGAACATTCAAGCTTCCATCTTATTGTAAACAGAGACTGTTGTCACGGGCCTTGCCTTAAATCTAAATTGAGCTCATGAGCGGCCGAGGGAGTGATTCTCCAAGAATCTGAAACAGGTGTCTGGGCTTCATGATCTGCCAAACCACTTCCAAGTCCCAGATTCTAAAAATCTGTTTTCCTCTTTCATAGAAGGATTCAACAGTAATGCAGAGATTATGTTATACCACTGAGGCCTTTTCACTTCCCGCACAGAGAAGTCATAAGGTTTTTAAGGTTTCATTTAGAACAATAGCCTGTTTGATGAAGACGGCTGTTTTTCCGAGGTTTTATTTCATGCATTTTTTTACAAACATCTTTAGTTCTTTTTTCTCGTATTTAATGTTTTGATTTCTGATAGATTTCTTGAAAGCAAAATTTGCCTTGTTTATAGCTGCAAAGTTGAAATGAAATTCTGAAATTTCTATTAAGAGGTGATAAGCATCTTTTGTGCACTTAAATATAAATATGATGCCAAATTAGTTTTATACCACAAAGGAAGTGGAGGTCTACCAGCTGCTTCAACTTTTATTAACTCCAACCTCAAAATAATCCAGTTTTTTTCCAAATGCTATTGGGTTAACTTTATGCGTTTGTAAAAGTTTGTCACAGTGAAGAATTACTTTTTGTACAGAAGAAAAATAGGAGGTATTACAGCAGTGTACTGAAAGCAGAGCATTTAAAGTGTTTCTGGTCAAATTAACTGTTCAATAGGAAATAGGTCATTGTGAGCAGGAGAATTGTAACATTCACATAATGTTATGGCACACTATTTTTGATCTGTACAATTCTCTATTTTTATACCCGACAACTACTCTGACCAGAAACATATTACGTCCAAAAGGTGATCAGAACCACAATTAGTTGAAACGAGGTGTGAGATGACGTTTTTAGGAAATTGTAAACCAAAGTAAATTGCACAGATTTGAAGATTTTGATCAAAATGTTACTAATTCAGAATAAAACAAAATATAAAATAAACTAATGCATTGGTTTAAGTGTGAAAGTTTAAGAATTTGACAAGTATAAGAGTTCATCAGGGTTCAGTCAAGAAAATTATAAATGAGATGTTATTGATTTTAACTTTGTAACAAATCTTAATTTCAAAATTACTTCGTTTATATTCCTGAACTTACACAATAACTGACAGTTTTCTACATAAACATATGATTTCACTGTTAAAGGTAAAAGTTCCTCACAGTGAAGGATTCACACTCTTCTAAGCGTCAATACAAAGTAAATATTTAATTCCTGAGCACAAGATATTCCAGTTCCAACCCTGTGGTGAAAGGTTTATCTCCTCTTTTCAGCAAACCTTTACCCTAAACCATGTTGTTGGTCAGCATCATCTCACCTGAGACCTCTACAAAACCGTCTCTGGTCTTAACGTTTAATTCCTCTGGCTTGAAGCTGTGGACGTTCACGCACACCTTCCAGGGCTCGCCATCTGTGGTCGTGGGGGAGCTGCGTGGGGACGGCTCGCCGTACCTGCTGGTGTAAAGTGCGGGGCCTCCCGTGGAGTGACGCGTGGGGAACCCTGTGCGTAAAGCGCCGCCAAAGGGCGACGGGCCGAGGCGCGTGCTCAGCCGGCCAGGCCGAGCCCAACCGGGCCAGTCCAACCCGAGGTCGTCAGGGAAAGGCGGCATCCCGAATTCATCCTCCATGAACCGGGATGCGAGCTGATCCCGGAACGGCGACTGATCCCGGAACGGCGATTCTCCAAACGGGTCTCTTGGAAACCGCTGCCGGTTTCCCATCGTGTAAAAGTCACCTTCTGCCATCTTCAGCTGGCTTTAGACTCGCAACAGTTCTTTGTTTGTAAAGTAAGTTGAACCTTGCACTCGAGTTTACTTTGGTTCTCTTATCTCCTGGTCAAACTTTACGCCTCCCGTTAAGCACGCACCACCTTTACGTAGCGGCCTGCGGGTCCGTGGACTCCAAACAAAACTTCCAGCTGCAACAACTTTGAAGAAAACTGTTTCTCTCCTCTGCCTTTGGCTTTTATACTGAACTGGGACCTCCCAGTTGGCTGATGCATAAGGAGCAAAATACCAGAAAGTACTGGGAGTATCTGGGCAGCGTCCACACTGCAAAAAACATCACTTCACCACTTCAGTACCAACCGTTAAAATACTTTTTATTTGTTGCTAAACAGTAGACAGTCTGAACCATGTCGAGTTCTTAATCTTTTTAAATGAATGAAATTAATCACACGACATTAAATTAGGATTTCAAGACTTTGCCAATGAATATTTTTTACAGTGGAGGCGCAACAGCTGACAGAGGACCAGCCTACTTTTTACCAAACTGAGTTGCATTCAGTAGACATGGTGGAGCCCCCTCCTCTTGATGACTCACTGATCTTTAATAGAAATGATCGCAGCTTCAGGTCCAATGCTCTGATGTCACAACATTGATACAACAAACAGTCTGAGTCAACTTCCAGAAGATGGGAAGTGTTGACTCTCAATCTTAGAGCAGAAAGCCAGACTGCACTTCAGCAGCAGCAGGACTCTATGGAGCTTCTTTCAAAAACACACTGATTTATGTCAAGGGTTATGTAATTATAACCCTTGAACATTTACTCTGGAGTTTGTGTTTGGAAATAAAGACATTTTGAAGCCACTGTATATTATGTTGAGGTTCCATTTGACACTTTATTACAATATGGCCTTTACATTGACACACATGCAGTACAAAAAATATATGATTTTGCATTATGTTTGTAAATATTGAAAATGATAATAAAAATGCATCATTTCACAATGAATCACTATTGCAATAAGAGCTTGTTTTTGTTTTTTTTAATACCCCAAATCATATTCAAGTACATTTAAATTGCCATTTGTTGATACATTGTATTTTGAATGTTTACAGTATGCTTCCAATTGTGTGCTGTAAATAAAAAAAAAAAAACATTTTGTATTATTTACACAGTCCTGGTGCCTATTTACAACAAGCTAATTACATATTCAAATTCTTGTTTGCACAAGAACTGGGAAAGAGCTCTTGTGCAAACATCGCTGGCTGTCTAAGTTTATCAACACAACTGTGCAAATCTTCCCCCAAGCATACAGGTTCACATCTGCCACCATCAGCTTGTGGTATATGGATTATATTTTTGGCACCAACTTCTTTTCTCTTCCAGCAGCACATTTCCCTCATTTGTCCAATTTAGCTGACATTTAGGGAAATAAGCTGAGAGAGTCGAGTGCATAGAGAGCAGCAGTCTTTCAGGCCTGGAGCAGCAACACAGACAGGATGAAGGAGCTGAAACCATTAAGAAGCATGACCCTTAATTATAAGCAAAAGCTGTTTTGGAGTTGGAGCTGCCATGAAATTAACTTTGAAGGAACAGTGTGACATTTTCGAGAAAACAGCCTGTTTTCTTTGAGCTGGTCGAAATATATGGTCTAATGACCAGCTGGTCTATGAAAGTACGGCAAAAATATCTTGAGATAATGAAGTGTCTGTCAAGAAAATGAGATAATTCACTGTCTCAGGACATTTGACTAATCACTGATAACAGTCTGTCAGGTTAAGTCTGGGATGAAACAAATGATGACTATGTGAAAAAGCACCTTGTCATCTCATGTGTGATGCTTTAGGCTTGACTTTTCCAAACCAGGATATTTGAAGTAAATATATCGTAAATTCTACCGGAGAACTAAACATGGGTCATCACTAAGATCATAATAAAAAATATGGGGCCAAATACACAGAAATGGCTCATCAGGCAAAAAACAAATTCATAAAAGTTCTTGGAGCCACTGCCTACATTCTGTGTTCATGGGCTGAGAAACCCTGGATGTGTTGTTGGTTCGTCACAAATATTGTAGAAGACACAAAGCTGGGACACAAACGGCTTCGACTGAAATGGTTGCTGAGCCTTGTGTTGGAGTCAGGAGCATCAGGGAACAGGAAAAAAACCAAAATACTGGATAATAATTATCCTTTGCGTACACAATAATTCTCAAATAGATTCACAAAACTCTTCAAATGTAATCATTGTCGGCTTCTTTTTCTGCATTCTCTTCCCAGCTGAACTGGCAAACTCATAACACAGATGGGGAAAATATAAGATTAAAATTTAAATATCAACATATAAACATTTTAGAATTAGTGAGGCTTCACTGAATGTGGGATTTTAACCATTCAGGAGTCAAAATGTATTTTGAAAAACTGAAATCAACCCAAAACTGCAAATATTTTCCATTCTGAGTGGAAACTAATTAAACAGTTTGTTTCACTGAGTTTGCTGGACATCTAATTGAACTTTTGCATATATAAAAAAATACATTTTACAAAAGAAATGTATTACAGTTTTAAAAAAAATAAATAAGAGATAACAGCAATACGAACATCTGACAACTACAAAAAAGCACTGATACGTTTAAACAAGTAATAACTATGTTTGCTAATGCATAATAAAAAATGGCTTACAGGTTTTGTTCCAGGGTTGTATAAATATTTAAGGAAATAAAGCATCTGTATTGGACATCAGTTAAATCATCATTTCCCTAATTAAAATAAAGTTTAAGTGTGAGTATGAGTGAAAGTAATTTAAGCATGGAACAGGGAAAGGCAAAAGCAGTTACACTTTTTTAGCTTGAAAGTTTTTGTCATTTAACAAACAAACTTCAGTATTTTGAGATCTTAACATAAAGAGGCACGCAATAGTGAAGTCATGCTTTTAAAAGGTTTTGACAAATCCTCTGATAACTCTAAAACAATCTGTTACAACCAGGTGATTCAGTATTTCAGTATTTTCATAGTTTGTAAACAGTGCAGGTGTGTTTAAATGAATCTTAGTCAAACTGCAGCTGCTCTGTGAAAACATTGAAACCAACGGCATCATGAAGGCAAAGGAAGGAACACATTTATCTAAAAGAGTGTGTGAAAACCGTAAATCTAACAAGATTCTGATCATCACCTGATCAGAAGCAGGGAAGAGGCAAATCGGGACGAGCTGCAGGGATCCACTGCTCAGATCTGAGACCTTTTGACCGGAGAAATATTAGTAATTCTCTAATCTGGCCTTTATGATACAGAAAACATGTAAAAGAACTGATGAGACCAAAACTGACCTTTTGGTCCTATGTGCAAAATACTATCTGTGACAGAAAACTAACACTGCTAATCCTCTGGAACACACTGTCCCTGTGAGGAAGAAAGATGCTTATCCACAAGATAGGTGATCAGTAAATCCAGGAGAATCTTCTAAAAAAAATCTGCAAAAGGCTAAAGATTTTCAGCTGTTGAAATCAGCTTTACAAATCGACATGTTAAAAAACGACTAACCTCAGCTGATACTGATGTCAATATTATGCATCCCTAAACTTCACTATTATGTGCTACTTTGTTTTGACCTATCCCAACTGCTAATCCCAATGAAATACATTCATATCTCAGGTTGTAACATGACAAAAACTGAACAGGATCAAGAGGAAGAAATAGTTGTTGAGGAAAAAACGTCCTGCAATTCCATGAAAATATGATTGCTGATGTATTTTAGACAGACATTTGAAATTGTTTTCCACTTGATCAGGGGGGAAATTAAAGTGACATTTAAGCTGACAGGCCGTTTGCTCGCAGTCAGGCCACCTACGCCGAGGAAACATGTTTGTTCTACATCTTGTGAAGTGCTGAGATCAGAGCCAGAAGCCTTTTCCTGATTCCTGATAACGATCCCTGTGAAGCCATCTGTGAAGGCCGGGATCAAACAGCTTAAATGTTACCCCTGTACTTCATCTGTTGGTGTAAAGTCAGTGTCACAAAGACCTGACAGAATAGTTCATGTTTGCTGCCCTGCTAAACTTCAGTGCATAAACTAAATGGGATAAATGATTTCAGTGCTTTATGGGCCTGGTTTTAAACCAATTGTTTTTTCCCCACATTAATATATAACATGTTAAGTTAATTTTAAGCATTAAGACACAAGAATTTGTGAGAAGTGCACAAACTTGCATCTCAGTTGGACATATTCAACATGGACATTGGTTTGATAAAAATGGAAATGAAATTTCTCTTGCTGGTGCAAGAAGACGATGTGCAGGAACAAAAAGTAAAAACATTTGTAGATTATTAGAGCAGAAATATCTCAATGACAGATGGCCTTGAAGAAATGCTGGGATATTTCAGTCCAAGCATCAGCCCCTACAGCTTCTGTCTTTACCACAAATACAAATGTAGTTTCTGTCTCTGAACAGAAGAACATCAACGCCGGGCTTTCCTTCGCTTCTTCAAAGAACCCCGACTCCGGCTGCGACTGTGGGACCCAAAGATGGAGTTCCACGATGAGCTCCGGCTGTAGCTCCTGTAGGAAGAGTAGCTGCGACTGCGGCTTCGTGTGAAGAGGCTGCTCCATGACGACACGCTGGTGGAGCGGCTGCTGGAGGAAGGAGTGGGTCTGAAGTAAGGGATGGGTCGCTTCCTGGCACTGTGGAGATTTGGGAAACAAATGGAGTAGCAAAAAAAAAAAAAAAAATGCAGCTACACATTTATTAGCACAATAAATCAATGAAAAAAAAAATTATATTGGAGCTTTTAAAAAAAGGGAGAAGAAGACATCTTCAACACCAGTTACGTTATATTATTCTGTATGACTACACCATTCATTCATTCATTCATTCATTCATTCATTCATTCATTCATTCATTCATTCATAGCATTGTGGATGAATGATGCCCCACTCTTGTTTATACATTCAGACTATTGAGGTTTGGAGAAACTGGTTTATGCATTTCCTCCTTGAAGAACCTTCAGGACTTTAATTAGGCCATTTGAGCACTTATTACCTTTTTGAATAATTTGTTTAGAGATTTTTTGCTTTGTTTGGGATGATTGTCTTGTTTACAACATAGTTTGTTCCAAGCTCCAGATCTTAGACGCGTAGCCTAATATTTAGCTCTAAAATACTTTGGCAAACAGAAGAGTTCATGCTGCCTGCAGTGTCCCAGGTCTCGTGCTTTGTTTGTCCCACACATGTTGCTGAACATTATATAACAACTTGTTCTGCTTCAGTAACATATTGCTCAAGTCTAGTAATTAATTCAGAGGCAACTGTGTAAACCTGTTATATTGTCAAAAGATTTTTCCTGGTATTCCTGCCAAAGAAGCCATTCTTGCTTACTCTTTAACTTTGCTGTAGTAAATTTTGTCATTTAACAAGTATAATTGACATTGAAGGTGTTTGTGCTTCCTGAAAAAGTCCTAAAAAGTCATGCACTTAATATTAAGGCCTTAAATTGTCTTAAATTAGTAAAATAAAGTGCAAGTAGACTATAAATACATTACTCACAGGTCTTATATTTTGTTTTGGCAAGAATATTTAATCTTGTTAATGTAATTTGTTCTTGGTCTTTTTGGTCAGGTAAAAGTTTGAGTCGTGCGCAGACATCTTTATAGCGCTTTGTGAGAGGCTGAGACTACGGCTAACTTGCTGCTAACACACTCTTGATAGCTTCTAGATAGCTAAAGTCTTTGCTCTATCATGGGTAAGTGTATATTTCCCACCAGTTAGCTGAATGGTTTATGATTTTGCCACTGGCTTTGTTTTCACCAGTGTAGATTAAAGTGAAGTAAGAAGCACAAAGCCACTGCCAAGAGCCACAAACAGACCCCAGAAATTTCAGTTTGTTACGCTTGGTTGTATCACAACAGGATCCCCCAACCACCTTTTGTATTGTATTTATACTTTATTTTTAAATTTCATTCAAGGTGGCATTTAAAAAAAACACATTGAGTCAGGGATTGGGCTTTTTTTTTTTTTTTTTTTGACTGGTGTACAAACTAACCTTGGGGGGATTTTATATTTATTCATTTTCCATTTTTGCAGAATTGTTTGCACTGTACAATGATGGAAAAAAAAACTTTATTCATTTTTAAAGCATAATTTGGATTCAAGTTCTTATTTTTTTGTCTTTTCTTTTATGTATCTTAATTTCAAAGTTTGCATAAACTTTCCATCTGAGCTGTTAAAACGATGAGATTTTTTTGGCAATGAAAGTGTGCAGGAATAAAGGATCAGGACAGACTGAAATAGGCTTTACCTTGTTATGCGGCGTGCCTCCAGATGGCTTGGCGAGTCTCTCCTCCTCTTCCTCATAGGAGAGTAGGACTTGCGTCTTCGTCTCTTTCCACTAACCTTGTGCATGTGCTTCAGATTTGTCTCTCTGGAACTAGACTTCCGCTTTCTGTCTCGTAGTCTGGGGCACAAGAGTCAACAGTGTGAACATTTAATCACCCAACGTCAGTGTAGGTTTATTGCTGTACAGCGCTTCAAAAGAGACATTAACAGCTGTAAACATTTAGTAAAACTCACCTATCGGCACTGTATTTGGAGTAGCTTCCTCTGGAGCTCAGGCTGACCAAGCTGCCTCTTCGCCTCACATCTGATGAGTTACTCAGGGAACGAGAGTACGAGCTGCAGCAAGAGAGGTGAGCAAATACTGAAAGTACTATCTCTGGCACAATCCTGCTGGACAGCATGTAATTGCAATATTAGATAAAGTACCTGCAAGAAGACAGAGAAGGGCTTCGAGAATAGCGTCCAGAGTACCTGGAAGTCTCTGAAGATCTGCTCCTACTGGTGGAGGAGGACTGAGTTTTCTGCCGCTTTCGAGATGACCTGCTCCTCCTCTGCGCACATCGAGCTGCCTTCGGGCATCTCACAACTTCTTCCTCACATCCCAAGGTTATCTGCCCACTGCAAAGACAACATAAAGACATTTTAGGGGTTGGGAGTGATAAATTGTTAAAATGAGGTTTTAAAATTTGGTTCTATTAAGAGGTTATAATAGGTTCTCTTACCTGGACCTTGATTTCTACCCACAGTAAACAACTCTATCTAGAGAGTTGTCATAACTTTTTATGTGAGCATTATTTTATAAGCTTTTGAGCTAAGGTTATGTTGCGTCAGAGGTGTATTTACAAAAAAAACCATGATTATCCACACAGAAAATGAAGATTAGAGAACACCAATGATTTTCTGTGTAAAACACAAGAGAGAAAAGCATGTAGAGTGTTTTCAGTATCTTTTATGTAAAGATGATCAATAAAGCAGTGCTATTTTAGCTGCTATTTTACTGATTATTATGTCACATTACTTTTCTAACAGACAGTTACTCTGAATGCAGACTGACTTGTTTGAATCTCAGTGTTTCACACTGGAAGATCATTAATGACACGCAGCCTGTTACTTTTACCCCCCATGTAAATAATGATTGGTCTCATTAAAAATAATTGCACAATGCAAAAATTCCCACAGTTTAAAGGCTAATAAATTACTGTTTGGAAAAAGCAACTGTGATATTTTTATAACTGCCTTTCGCATTAGCCTGAAGTTCCAATTTAATCTGGATTAGCAGAAAAATACACATTAAGTTCTACAAAGTATGTTATGACTCCCTGGCAAGTTTTAAGAAAGCAACCAGGAAGGTTTATGAAGGTAAAAGTACAAACAAGAAATCTTGAAAGTTCTGAAAACTGAACTCTACATTTTGGAAAATATCTGTAAGTTCCAGGAAAGTACCTGGTAGGTTTTGGGAAAACTACCAGTAAAATTAAGGAAAGTTTAGGAACATATTAAGTTAGTTCTGAAGGTTTGCAGCAAGTTGTAGAAAATTAGCTCTTAAATTCTACTAAAGTCCATTGTAGTTTTGAAACAGTAAGTGCTAAATTCTGGTAGAATAATTTATAAAAACTGAGAAAAGTTCCAGGAAAGTACTTGCTAAGTTTCAGTAAAGTACCTGTAAGTTCTTTAAAGTTCTTTGACTGACTTTAAAGGACCTTGTAAGATCTGGAAAAAAAGCCATTAATATTTGAAAAAGTGCACCCAACTGAAAATTTCAAATGACTGTGACTGCAGCATTTTTTCCCCAAAGAATAAGGGACACATTTAGATTGATAATACAATCCAGACACAATGTTCACCTCTTGCTGTTTCCACTGAAAATGGTGGCAGAGAAGCCATGTTCCCTGTACGGTTTGCATGAGGAAGCGTAGCTTGTCACAGAGTTTCCTGAATCAGAGCCGTTGCCTCTGTCAGCAAAGCGTTGCTTCTCAGGAGGTGAGGTAAGACGTTGACAGCAGTTCCTCTGGTTTTCAGCGACACTTGCTCGAGAAACACCAGTTTTGCTCGATGGAGGTGAGGATGTGTCGTTACCAGAGTCGTAGTCACGTGTACCTTCGGCGTGACTCGAAAAATCCTGAGCTCCTTTCCCATTTAAAAGCTCGCTTCCAGGCTTCAACGACAAAATCTGTGAACAGACAAAGAGGCAACAGCTTAAACCCCAATTTGCATGGAACAGAACCTGCTACCTGCTTTGATTTACTCTGAGTACACTAGTGCAAAGGCACATATTCCATTGAAAGCATAGTAGAGATTTATTTTTTCTTGGGACAAAAAGCTTTGAATAGAAAGACATCATGCAAATTTGAAGCATGCGATTAACCTCGAGAGAAAGTTTGAACTCAACTAAAGTCGAAGAAATCAACAAAGAAAACTGTTTTGTGAAAAGATCTGCACTAAAACAATTATATGGAAGGGGAAAGAAAAGAGCAGAGAAGAACAAAAGAATCTATGTGTGTAAAGATCTACCAGCTCTAACTCCAGTGAAGAGGAAAACAGAGTAAACAATAACCCCATTGAAAAGCCTCATTTAAAAAACATTGAACAAACATCACAAAAATGGCTTTTATATAGAAAAGAAAAAGATTGCAGACTAAGAAAGATCCCATCAGTCTAACTAAGAAAGCCCTCAGAATAGGACAGATGATTGCTTTTCTCTCTCCTGTCAGAATACATTTTTAGCCTTCAGCGACCTACAAGTAAATCCCTGAATCTGCAGATAGCAGCGACTTACCAATCAAGATTTCCTCCTTAAGTAGGTAAGGTGTAAAAAAAAAAAAAGGGAAGAGCGGGCAACGTAAGTGCATCATTAGAGTCGTAAATTGCATTTTTAAAAAAGACAATAACCCTCTCTTCAAAGCCAGTTAGATTGATGTTTTTACATCGTTTTGTTGTTTTTTGGGGGTGGATATTCAGCGCCCTCCACACTTGTTGGCACGCCTCATAAATGCATGTAAAAACCCTTCAATTACATCACTTTCTCTTCTAGTAGCATCATCTCAGAGTGAATAATTTAGAAAAACAACCTTTATTTCAGAATATTTAACACGCAGAACAAAAATAATAAGAATAAAAAAAACTTTCAGTTTATTGGTAAAAGTCATCAGATTTTAACTTCAAGTCTCCATAAAACCATGTTTTTGAGTAAAAAAAAAGGCCACCAACATGATATCATCTCAGTTTGGGATGTTTTTGTCTCATTTGAACAAACAATTGATCCTCCAAAAAATCCCTTTTTCTCTGTTATTGCTTTATTAGATTCCAGTCACTTTTTACTGATTAACACACATCATGTTTTACTGAGACTCCAGTTGGCCTTCAAAATGAAAATGTGTGATGTTTATTTAAAAATTAAATAAGCTTGATATATTTTTAAATATAAAGCGTACAGACTGACAATACGTCTCTGCCATAAAAATATTGGATTAATTTAAGGCTATTTAGTGCTTGGTACAGCTGCTAACTTTTTTTCTGTAATGCAAAAAAAATGGTGCAAAACAACAACAACAACAAAAAAACAACAAACAAAAAAAAACATTTATTGGGCCTCATCCTCCAGAAGGTTTTTGTAGTCATCAGTCAACACAGCATCCACACGGGACACATAAACAAATCTACCATCCTCTTTAAGAGTTTCACACAATCTGTTCACACTTGGGGCTAAAAGGTTTCACACATTTTAAACATAGACATTCTTCTATCAACACAGATGCCTTCAAAAAATATTAAATCTTTTAAAAGTCCCTGAGTTGTTCTTCCGTCTCAGATAACAAATGGCAATTTTTAAAAATACATTTAAATTTATAGTCTATAAACAAATGCATTTAGATAATTAGATATGTTCTTTTTTTAAATCTACTTGTAGACCGTTTATAAATAGATACAATCAGTACGGTGTATTCCTGTGTATTTCAGTTTGTAAAGTTCCCTTAAAGACTACAAAATAAATGCTGGCATGATTGGATAAATGAATTAATTTGCTGAATTTCAATTAAAACCATTTGGTGTGTAATTAAAACATCCATATTTTCAATTAGCATAATTTAATGATTACTGGGGAGAAATTAAAGATGTTTCATGCTTCACCAAGCAGGAGACAATTGGTTTAAGGACATTGCTGTATTTATAAGGCTCTAAAGAACACTGAGAAAATTCAACATTACGCAGCAGAACAGTTTTCAGGTGTTCACTGTGAGATTTATGTAAGGATGGACTAAAGATGGTCTGAACTAGTAATATTGTTTATAATTTTAATCATAATAGAACAGTAAGGTTTAAGACAAAAAAAAAAACACTTTATTTAGCTGTTAAACCCCCAAAGTTATGTAACTGTGGCCTGATTAAAAAAAGAAAGAAGCTTTCATAATTGCAGTAATATATATTTTTTTTATTACTGCAGTCAACATTAGCTTTTATTGAAGCAGAAGCCATATTGGATTCTGAAGAAGCAATTGGTGACAAACTTTTGACTTTCTACATCTTAAATCTGGATTCAGGAGGAGTTCATTTCCAACTTTTACGAATAAAACATAAAAGCATTTATACATCAGACTGGTGTTTGTATGCTTTATACTTGAAGGAAAAGGAGGTAATGCAGTTGCAATTTCCCTAGCAGATCTTCTGTATACATCATAAGAAGACTTGTAAAGAAAGTGACTTGTTATTGTATCACCAAGAAACGTTTGTGGAAAAAAACACGCTATTTTTATACTTTTTTTTTTTTTTTTTTAATTTCGAGAGTGTTTCAACATTTAAGACTCAGCTTATCCTCCATCCATGGTTTGGCACTGAATACCGAGGAGGAAAGGAGAGAGCACACATCCAATGCAAAAGAAAAAAGAAAAAAGAGAGTGGGCAGGGGAGTTAAATGATTGTTTGATTTTGAAGAATACAGAAAATTGAAATTACTAGCACTCCAAAAACATATAAAGATTTTAACTGTTGTCAGGAACGCTAAAAAAAGAATGTGTTCCTGCAGGTAGCCAGAACGTGTAACTTTTTTACCCACATTAAAACCTTTGGATTGCTGGTTATTTCCTTCTTTCATTATTTGACACTGTTGCTTCACAGGTGGTGAAAAAATTTAATATTTGACAATAAACCATATAAAACAACCTTGGTTAGAATTGAAATGTTTGAACAAATGAACAGTTTCCATATTTTACCAAAACCCAAATAATTGTAAAACTCTTTAATCTCTAACTAAAACTTTTTCTCTTCATGCCAGATTGAACCAAGGACTAACAGTTGCCTTTTCCCCGAGTAAAATAAAGGGAGAATCATCTTTAGATTTATGCATTTCCCACATGGTTTATTTGCATGTTTTTTTTTAAAGTTTTTTTTTAGTTATATTAAATCTTTATGTGTGGATGTGAAATTCACTCCTGATGCCTTTAAATGCTGCTGGAACATTGTGATTTAGCACAGTAGTAAACATGAAACACATCATTGCTATCCTCTGCACCACTTTGGCTTCACACCTGGGTTGAAAATCTTTTCTATAAAAATTTAAACAGCTTTTACATGTGATGCCATGAGATACATCTTGGTTGCAATTCACATCTGAAATAGCTTTGCGTAATTGCACCATAAATATAGAAATCTAAAGCAACTGTAACGTCGTGCATTTGTTTTGAGATATGCATGTGAATATAGCTTAGAAAACAAAATAAAACAAACAGTTTGACATGTCCAAACCAGAGGAACTCATTTGAGCCTGCGGCAGCATTGTAAAATTTGAAAACTGTACTTACGGTGCCCGCTGAGAGGATGGAGCGATATTTAGGAGCCGTTTTACACACAGATTTAGATGCATGTCTCCACTTTGCTTCGGTGGGGTTCAGCGCCTCTCGGGTTTCCTCTCCAGCCCCTCCCATGGCTCTGAAAGCCTGATGAACCACAGACTTCTGCAGGTGCCTGTGGGGAAATGTTTTGGTTAGTTGACTCTACGACACAGAATTATGTCGGCGATTCCTGCTACTGTGTCAGCTGACAAGCTTTGTTTGATGTTAATGAAGCATATATGAAGCTGTTGTTGTTTTTGTGGTGAAACAATGTAATTACTGCTCAGTCAGAAAATGAATGAACACAAAATATTTCCAGTGTTACACAACAAAAAAGAAGAAGAGTTTTAGTTTTATTTGAAATACAATTTGTGAGATTTTATTTGAAAGTATGAAGTTTGATTGTATTTATTTATTTATTTATTTTGGTAACCACCAATCTTTATAGATTTTGTTTTCTAATTATTGTAGCTCAGACAATAATAAACTTGTTTAACCTCATTTAAAATCTAGGTTTGTTTTAATAATAATGAGCTTCTTGTCATGTTTTAGTTTAATTCGGATCCTATTCTGATTTGAATGCTAAATCAGAGCTAACTTCACCTGCTGCGAAGCTCATACACTGCAAAAAACACAAAGTCTTACCAAGTACTTTTTTTAGTGCAGTTTCTAGTGCAAATATCTTAGTACACTTGAAATAAAGCAAAAAATAACTCACAAGTAACTTTTTGGGAAGAAATAGGAGCTTGCTTTAGGTCAGCATATTTTCCACTGGGAGATTATTTCACTCATAAAAGGTGAAAATGTCCAATTATAAGCAAAATATTCTCAGTATAACTGGTATTTTTTCATCTATATTAAGAAATTGGTTACTTAAAACAAGCTTCTATGTCTTGCTGAATGGCTTGTAACTTAGTTTTGTCTTATTTCAGGCGTACTAACAAATTTGCTCTAGAAACTAGACCAAAAATATTAAGATTTTGAGTTTTTGTAGTTTAACAAATAAAGTTATCCCATTGGGGCCAAACTTGTGTACATCATTAGTTTTAACCAAATTTTGTGCTGCACTCATTGCAATATGTTCAGATGTGTTTGAAACACAGTTTACATTTCACATGTAAGATGTTTAACTTGAAAAATTGTGTGTGCATTACATTTCTTATTTTACATATTTTATTTCGGGGCTTTTAAATGAACATTTTGTTGCTTAACTTGCAGGATATGTGGCCTTCAGGCAGTGGAACTTACAATAGAAATCTGCCCAGTTCTGCAATCAAGGGAATTGAACCTTTTGTTAAATTTAAAATGTTTGTGATTGTCTACTGTCATTTGAGAAATAAATACAGTAAATGTGGAACTGAGAGAAGAATGCTACTGATAATCGTCCTGCTTATTTAAGACACACTGCCTCAACATTTTGTCTCAACGTGCTATATATGTATAAACCTCTAGCATTCTCTTTTATTAAATATTGTTCTCTATGTGAGTCCTGCTGTCTTCTCTGAGTTTTTGTCCTGAACTCATTAGTCAGATTTACTGATTGAAGTACATCTCCAATACAGCAATCTGCATCAAACTGAGGTTAAAGTGAAATAATGACCACTTTTATCCAGCAATTCCACTAGCAATTACTCAAATGTAATCAGAAAAAATGTCACACCAGAGAACCTCTTACACATCACAGAAACACCAATATTTCACTCTATTCCATCCTAACTGAACAGATTGATCAGAGCAGTGAATTTGTGACCATTTTCTGTGAGGTTGTGATAAGAGTTGGTTATACTGGAGCAGGAGGAAGTCACCTCTGTCTTATCAGTTTCTGCTGCAGTGAGACCAAGTCGCCTCACGCTGATGAGAAAAAAGTGTTAGGGTTGTAGGGAGAGAAGGGGGCCGTACCTGTCCCCCGTGAAGGACCTGGAGGAGGAAGCGTACGACTCCGACCTCCTGTAGTGCCGCCTCCGACGCGAGCGAGTTCGGGAACTGGTGGAGGGCAGAGAAGAAAAGAAAAAGAGGAAAAACGAGGGCTGAGAGTTGAAACAGAAATGAAACAGTTTAGAGATACTAAAAGAAAGCGGAGTTGTGGGGAGATAGAGCAGAGTTTCTGCTGTTAAAATAAGCAGCTATTTATCTTTCTCACAGTTCATTTTGTTACAACTGTGAACTTTGACAAAAAAAAGCTATATCTAGTTTTTAATTTTTTTTTATTACAAATAAACATGTGAAAAGTGTGGCATATGTCGATATAATATGGAAAAGGGTAAGGACACTGAAAAAAACAAAAACAAATTCTGACTTTTTTCCCAGAATTTTGATTTTCAAAGATCAAGTCAGAATTCTGAGATTTTTTTTCAGTGCTCCTAGCCCTCCTTCATGATGAGGAAATCCTTATTTTGATGCCCCTAAATAAAATCTAGTACAGCCATTTTCCTCCAGTTGATGGAAAGATGGTTGGAAATAAATATAGGCTGATTGTGAACGAAGATTTGACACTGCTGTGGAAGTTCACCTTTCAGCAAAACAATAACACAAAACATGCAGTCTGAGCAACATTTGAACAGTTTATTTGAAAGGATAATCATGTTGAAATGGTTAGTGGCAATTCAGACATTAATCCACTGAGAAAATGGATGTTTACAGATGCTATTTGTTCAGGCTCACTCAGTTTGTTTTTACAAAGAATGTCGGGGAAAGATTAGATGTGCAAAGCTGGTAAGGATAAACAGCTCTGTATTTACACAGGGAGACAAATACAAATGCCACATTTTAAGATTTTTATTTGTAAAAAAAAAAATCAAAAACAGTAAAACATCTTCGCTCCATCTTAAAATAATGCCACCATAATGTGGGTCTAGAGCTGATTTACCTGTGAAGGTTTCCCACATTGGTTCTTTATAAAAATAATAAAAGACTAACTACTGTTTTCAAGAATAAATACAATAAAACGAAGATTTTTCAGAAGGTTTTCATTTTTTAAAAGGAATAATTGCAGAATTTCAAACTATTTTTGCGACTGGGTTCAAAAATTGTGATTTTGACAAATTAGCTATTCTCTTTTTTACAATGTTTACATGTTTTCTCTTATTTTAAAACCTAACCAAAGTAATAAAAAAGTAGTTCTTTAAAAATAACCTTTTGTTTACATTTTCAGCTCGAAACAAGTTTTATTTAACTGGACTGGTCACTTGAATTGTAAAGGTTGAAGATCCTTGTTCGTCTATCACCTAAAATACCAGTAAAATATATTAATGTTTGTGGTTTTAGCGTGAAAAGAAAGTAAATTAATTCATAAGGCACTGCTACAAAACACTAATCTGGTTGAAAGTCAAATTAGGACAAAACTGCAAAATCACAGCATGAAATTGGCTTCAGTTACCCTTTTGATATTTGCTTCACTCTCTTTGTGGCTTCGGTATTTTTCTCTGTGAGGGTTTGTTTTTATCGGCTTGAAGAAAATTTCAAAGCTGCGTGTGTCTTTGGTTCCCCTGCGGTGCCCTTGCATAGTTGTAACATCTATGACAAGCCACAGAGGAAGGAAGGCGGGCAGGAAGGAAGGAAGGAAAGGATACTCCGGATGATTCTGATGCAACAATCACAGACTGACCTTTTCTTGTGCTTGCGTTCATCCTTCCTCTTACGTTTTAAACTTGAAGAGCTGGAGGGATCAAGGAGAGCAGAATAAGCTGGAGGTGTTTAAAACTGACAAAGCCTTCACAGTCAGCCTGCCTTCTTGCTGATGCACTGAGAATAAGGCTTTAAAATCCACTAATCCTCCTGCATGCATGTCATTGTTACTCCACATTTAAAACAGCAACATATTCCAGATAAATGGAATTTTTTTTTACGACTACTGACAATATGAATACTAATGATAATATTAAACATAAAGATACCTGTGTTTTGACTTCTTAGAGGTATACCTGGAATGCAGAGAGAGATGATTTGAGTCACTTTTACAAAAATAAATCCATACCAACAATATTGTAATAATAAAGAAGAAATACCTATGCCGCTTGCTTTTCTTGGAGCTCTTCTTCTTCTTCTTCTTTTTCTTTTTCTTCTTCCTCAGTGGTGACAGACTGTGTGAAGGGGACCTGAAGGGAAATAAATAGTAATAATGAAAGATAAACATAAATTCTAGTACTTCTTAATTAAGTTGAGTTTATTTCAGTTCACATTAAATAGTTTTGAATGTCAATATTTTACAATAAACCATTCAGTTGCATTACAGAGCTGGATTTGTGTCCATTGGAATCTAGATGAGTTCAGTGAAATCTTTCTCAAATAGATATGATTTTAATTCAATTTTATCTGATTAAGTAAAGGCAAATAGAACAAATTTCAGTACATTGTGTTTATTTCAATGCAGTTCTGTTTATACCATAGTTATTCTTAATATATTTCCATGCAATTTATCAAATTATCTTAAATCCAGTAGTCAGTTACAAGCCAACTGAACTAACTGTTTGCAAATTAATTCCCTTTTCCTTTGAAAACCGGGATTTCCAATATTTAGAGCAATAGTTGGAGCAATTGAATACATTCAGTTCAATCATATTATTTTCCAAATTAATACTACTTATTCAAAACAGACTAGTTCAAGTATAAATAACCCAATTCTGTTGAATTGCATAATTCCAAATCCATTGTCCATTGCATGTCGTTGTGGTTAATTAGACAATTAATTTAAAGTTTGTTAATTTAAGTTGACATCAATTTTATTCAAATTGAACATTTCCAGTGCCTTTGTTGGATTGGGGGGAGGGTGTCCTGCCCCAAGTGGAGGAGTTCAACAGGAGTTCAACAGGAGATCGACAGGCGGCTTGGCGAAGCGTCTGCCATGAAGTGGGGGCTGTACCGGTCCGTCGTGGTGAAGAGAGAGCTGAGCTTTGAATTTACCGTCGATCTTTGGGTCATGACCAAAAGAACGAGATTGCAGATACGAGTGGCCAAAATGAGTTTCCTCCGTAGGGTGACTGGGCACTCTTTTCGAAATAGGGTGAGAAGCTCAGTCATCCAGGAGGAACTCAGAGTTGAGTAGCTGCTCCTCCACATCGAGAGGATCCAGTTGAGGTGGTTTGGGTATCTGGTCAGGATGCCTCCTGGACGCCTCCCTGGTGAGGTGTTCTGGGCACGTCCCACCGAGAGGAGGCCCTGGGGGAAGACCCAGGACACCCTGGAGGGACTATGTTTCTCTGCTGTGCTGGGAACGCCTTGGGGTTACTCTGGAGGAGCTGGAAGATTTGGCTGTGGAGAGGGAAGTCTGGGCCTCCCTTCTTAAAGTGATAACCCGGCGACCAGACCCCGGATAAGCGGAAAAAAATGAATGGATGGATGGACATTTCTAGAGTTCCTTTAATAGCAATAATTGAAAGTAATTTGAAGTACCTGCAGTTTATCTCATTACAAATGTTTATGGAGCAATCTACAAAAATAAAGTTAAGGTGAATCTGATTTTACATAATTTATTTATTAATTTATTTCAATTCAGTCCAAATAGAGAACCAACAAAGTGCAAGTCACTACATTTATAAATTAATTTCAATTATTAGTTTCATGCATTACAGCAAAATAGTATTAAAATGCATAAATACCTTGAAATCTTTGGTTTCATGGATTTACTGCGTATTCATTGTATTCTGCTGTCTGTTGCAGCAAAGGAGAGTGCATTGAGTGCAAAACTGGCAAACTTTTAAAACTCACCTTCTTCTCCTTCTCTTCCGCTCAGACTTTCTCTTCTTCTTCTTCTTCCCTTTCGCCCGAGGGGAGAGGACACCATCAAAGGAGGGGCTGTGGGGTCGAAACAGAGCAGAAGGAAACATCTGCAGTCACTCATGAGACGTGACAGATGAAGTTCAGCACCAAGAAGCCAACAGAAACTAGTATTGCAGATTCATCTGAACCTATAAATTATAAAAATACAGCTATTTATGTGTAGTAGAGCCACTTCAGGGCTGTTCAAACAACATGTGCAGTCTTTAAACCTCTGGAGTCCAGTACAATAGGACATTGTTGGATTGTGAAAAAAAAAACTTTTTTGGCTTGTTTCATTTCTGTCAGGCTACTCCATGATTTTTTTCAGATGTGATGTCCTTGAGATGCATGATTTGCTGACATCCTAAACTGTATTTCCTAACTGCATTTGTTTGGTCCAAACTAAGGCTGTAATTGATCTCTATTTATCTGTCCTTCTGCAGACTATCTTTTTAAAAATACATTCACTTGGACTTTTTACATTCTTCATGAGTGTGCCACTTTTCTAACATCTTCACTGTATAAACGGCTCTCCACATTAATGTCGACCACTGCACACTGTCTTCACATTTTCCTTCAAGTCCTTGTTATTCATCTTCCACTCTTTCACTCTCTTTTTTGACTGAATTTATTATTACACAGAAAAAGAAAACTGTCAAGTTCCTTCTTGTGGTCAGATTGATTAATTTCCAGATGCCCACCTTTCCCTCTGTCTGAAAGTGAGACATCTGAGAAAGGAGATGAAGGACTTCAAAAAGCACCAAAGGCTTACTGAGCGGTCCTTTCAAGGACAAGGAGCAAAGGCAGTTTGTGAGCGAGCCAGAATGGTGATGTGAACAGAAAGGAGATTACATCACAATGAGGCCTCAGAAATTGTCAAGAAAATCGGATGATTTTAGAAGGATACAGATTTTATCCTCTGTGACTGATGAAAACTCAGTGTCTTCTCAACAACATAAACACTGCTAAAATACCCGCTGAATGTCTGGTCTCTCATTTTTTAGCCATTTTACATCAAGAGAAATAGTTAGCAATCATAAACACAATGAAGTTTAGAAAAATCCATATTTAATGGATGAGTGAGAAGGTCCTTTCAAAATTTTTACAAGATCCTGAGGGTTAAAGGACCAAAACGTTTGGCAGCAGAACCCCAAAAAATCTTCCTCTCCCTCAGAATCCTGTGGGTTTTCCATGACAACACAAGCAAATCCTCAATCCAGACTAAAGAAATTACAGATGCAAAATATCCGTAAAACAGTATCTGCACAAGAATGACTTAAAGAGAAAATAAACCCCACGTATGCTTCCGTGTCACAATCTTGTTTTTCCCAACTTTGCAAGGAAGCATCAAACTTCTGATGACAATTTTAACGTCTGATCAGAAGTAAAGCTAATCTGTTCGGTCCGGATGGTATCTTGCATTACTGTCATGACATAGAAAAAAAAAAAATCTGCATAGATTTGTTTCTTCTTTTTACTTCGAACAATGAAACTTGAGTCTGAGTAATTTTAAGAGAATACCACTTTTTCCTAATTTTGAACAGGAGTGTTGCATACTGTGACACAGTGAACGCTTCAAGGAAATATGCAACCACTAAGCTCTGGAGTCTGTGTGCCAGTTTCGCTGGATCCACAAGAGTGTCCTGTAGTAATAAATGGCCCTGCATCGTCATCGGCAGTTCAGGCGCATTAGGAACTGAAATGCATTAGAGCTGATTAGGCTCAGCAAGCCCAAGTACCCTCTCCTGATAATGAGAACGCTTTGTCACTCATTAACACTTTGACCATTCTGGCCTTGTGGTGAAAGAGCATTTGCATTTCTTCTGGCCAGCAGAAATGATTTCTCTTGATGAGATGGAGGGAGCAAGAGAGCAGTCATTTTCCAGCTACGTAGGAAACGCAACTCAGCGCAACAGTTGTGAATAAAAATTGGGATTTGAGGACATCTAACGAGAGCTCAGTTGAATTTACCAAAGGAGTATTTTGTTCCCCCCAATGTATCGAAATACTTTCTAAACGTCTTTATATGTAAGTTACACACTTTCCTTGGGATACAGTATAAATTGTGTTTCTGGGTTTCTGGCCAATTAAAGTTTTTGACAATTTATTGTTGTTTTTTTTTGTAATTTGGTGCAAACTGTTCTCCAACATCTTCACCCACCACTATGCTGATGGGGTTGAAATCTTTCGTGACTGATCGAGACTCAGCACTTCTAAACCTGACAAAAAAAAAAATCACAAATGAAGTTCCTCAAGTGTCTATTTACTCACTATTGAAATGCTCTACTTGTTTACAAGATATGATTAAGAAATCTGGCATGATTTCCTAACCATATTTGATGACACACACTTATATCCAGATTTGGGGAGTAATTGGTGACATTGACTCAACTACACTTACTTGAGTAACTTAAAAAAACACTTAGTGAAATTCTAACGACGCTGTAATTTTTACTTTTACTTGAGTAATTTAATTTAATGAAGTATTGATTTTTTTACAAGAGCAAAATGTCTGGCTTTTCCACCCACTGAACGAAGGACAAACATGTTTTAATCAAAAATTCAGCAGGCATATTTTTTTTTTTCCTGTACTTCACTTTTTAGGTCAGAAAAGCAATTGCTTACAGACCAGGATTCAAGTTAACTCAATAAGGGCAAATCATATTAAACATGAAGATTTTGTTATATTCTTTAAATTGTCAGAACAAAGGGCTTACTGTGCAAACAGAACACAGAAAAACTGGAGTTTGACTTTATTTTTAGCACGTTTTGTTATTATATTTGGTGTTTACACCTCTATCTGTAGAAAATCAATCAGGGAACTGCAGCTGATCAAAATAATGCCAGCAGAGTTCTGGGCAGCAGCAGGAAATATAATAATCCCAATCCTTAAATTACTACATTGGCTTCTTGTTTGAAAAGTGATTTAGTTATAATTCAGGTTTGAAGTGTAGGCTCCTCAGGTCACCAGAGATGTGATTACGAAAAAAAAAAAAAAAAACAGGGAGATACATCACGTATTTCTACTCCACAATACAATTTCCTGAAATATGTGCAGAAACTCCTCAAAAACAGGAGTTTCTGCACAGGAGTGTTGTTTCTTTGGTGTATTTCTGGTCTTTAATGTGATTTTCTTAACCTCAGTTCTTTTGATGAGGCATTCTGAAATGCTGAGTGTACGCTTTCCCTGAATAGGGCCTAATATTTGCTCATTAAAGCTGACATGCTGTCTTTAGAAGAAGCAAAAATCAGTTTAATTTTATAACTAATGTTTGATTTCTCTGCTGAGTTGAGCTGCTGCGATCCAATTAGTAAGATAACAATCCGAAGAGAAAGTGCTTTTCCCAAGAGAGGACATTTCTTTCTGGCAGCACTTTGTTATTGAGACAAAGGGTTTGGAAATTTATGTAGTTAATTAGCCATTTCAAAAATAAATAAAAAAAAACCACAAACACAGCATTAATCATGTACTATTTGTAAAAGCTATTGGGAAATGCATAATTCTTCTGCAGTGCTTCCCGGAGGCTGTAGGCAGCGAACCCTCTACTGACCTTGCAGACAAAGGCATTGGTGGAAAAAAAACAAACTTATGTCTCCTTTTATTTTTTGATAATGCCACAAGAGATGTCTAATGTATAAATATACACAGATATATATATATATATAAAAATTCCCTTCTCACCCACCGCGGGTGGTTCTTATCCTCTGAGCTCGGGTCCTCTACCAGAGGCCTGGGAGCTTGAGGGTTCTGCAGTATCTTGGCTGTGCCAAGGACTGCACATTTCTGGACTGAGATGTCTGATGTTGTTCCTGGGATCTGTTGTAGCCACTGCTCCAGTTTGGGGGTTACTGCCCCGAGGGCCCCGATGACCACAGGCACCACTGTGGTCTTCACCTTCCAGGCCCTCTCCAGTTCTTCCCTGAGGCCCTGGTATTTCTCCAGTTTCTCGTGCTCCTTTTCCTGATGTTGCAATCACTTGGTATTGCTACATCTACCACAACGGCTTTCCTCTGTTGTTTATCCACTACGACAATGTCTGCTTGGTTCGCCATCATCATTCTGTCTGTCTGGATCTGGAAGTCCCACAGGATCTTAGCTCTGGCGTTCTCCACCTTTGGGGGTGTTTCCCACTTTGATCTTGGGGTTTCCAGTCCATATTCTGCACAGATGTTTCTGTAGACTATGCCTGCCACTTGGTTATGTCGCTCCATGTACGCTTTCCCTGCCAGTATCTTGCACCCTGCTGTGATGTGCTGGACTGTCTCAGGGGCCTCCTTGCACAACCTACACCTTGGGTCTTGTCTGGTGTGGTAGATCTGGGCCTCTATTGCTCTGGTGTTTAGGGCCTGTTCCTGGGCGGCCAGGATGAGGGCCTCTGTGCTGTCCTTGAGTCCAGCTTTTTCCAGCCATTGATAGGATTTACTGATATCAGCCACTTGGGTTATTTGCTGGTGGTACATCCCATGTAGGGGCTTGTCCTCCCATGATGGTATCTCTGGCACCTCAACCTCCGTTCCCTGTTGTCTGAGACATTCACTGAGCACATTGTCTGTTGAGGCTTTGTCCCTGATGTATTTATGGATCTTAAGATTTACAGCATTGACCTTGTGACTGTTTGCATAAATGGAGAGAACATTATTTTTTTTTTTTTGCCAGGTGGAAGAAGTCTGTTTCAGATTTTTCCAGTCTGATTTGCCGTCAGTTTGATTATGAGATCAGAATTTCTTTTTGTTTCTGAAAGCTGACTTTATTCTTAGTTATTAGACACTTATTGTTCACTCCAAAAATCCCCCACATCACTCCATATAAGCAACATGAAACATGTGCTGCTTAACAAAAACAAAAACAATCATATGGTGAGAAATTAAAGGCTTTAATAAAGAATACCATTTTATAAAAACGTTCTGCTTGTAGAAAGGTTTTACAATATAAAGCCTTGAGTTTTAAAATGTTTTAAAAAAGCAAAATGCCCTTTCAGATGGAAAAATAACTAATCAGAGGTAACATCTTTAAATAACGGTCAAGGCCTTGAGTTTTCATGGAACTGTTCCAGATATGCTGTGAATGAAAGAATATTTTCTCTTAGTGGTTGAAAGCAGTGAACAGTCGGTTCTAGACCACCAGTAATGTCTGGGTTGGAGCAGCAGACGGGTGATGGAAGATGGCCTTAAAACATTTAGCTTCCTTTAGTGGTACGTTTTGGACACATAGGAGACCATTGTAAAGATATTACACACTGAGTGACGTGACCCAATTTCCTGCCTTCCTACCAGGCACAGTAGTTTGTGAAAAAAGCTATAACTGTGAGCTGTTAGGAATTTTAAACACATTGATGTCACAGATGAACAATTTGGTGATGACGCAAAATCCCATTTCTCTCTTCATACCCAGTTCTTTTCCCTTACATCCAGCTTTGTAAAATCTCAAATGTTTGGAAAAGGAGAAAGTGTAATTTTCTTAAAAAATAGATATTTTTCAGAGCTACTTGTACAAAAAGTTGTGTATGAGCAATTTTCTGGAAAACTGTTCTAGTTTTAAGTGTTTTCTTTTTTGCCTGCCATTTGGTATTATTGTCAACCAAGTGTCACAGAAAAGATATATCTTAACAAAAATGCCTTTTATGGCCACAGGAGCTTTTATAATGTGCACTTAGCTGGTAAATACCATGCCTTCAATTGAGATGATCTTAGCAGGAGTTAATGGTGGCTTTCTGGGTAAACTGGGTAAGAATGAACCTCCTTATGTAAGATTAGAAGACCATGATTTAATGGAGGTTGAGGGTGTGAGGAATAAAATATAATGTTGCAGGAGTTACATACTGCTATACTGTTACATGTTGTATGACTTAGAACTGGCTAAGGCATATATTTTCTCCCCAAAATGTTGCTATCTTATAATTAAATGTTGAAGTATAGTGTCTGTTTTTTATCACAAAATATTAAGTAGAACTCCCCCTAATGTCTTTTTACGTACAAGGAATTTGCGACACCCACAACAAATCATTTCTGTGAAACATTTTTTGATTTCACCATGAAATATGAACCATTTCTACAGATTTAAATAAAATTCCACTTATAAACCAATTATTTTCCAAACAAACTGTTCGACATTGTTCAGAAATGCTGTGAGGTGAATTAAATGAAATAACACTAAACAATTGTTAAATTATAAGTTATATTGTATATTTTTGTGGTTTAGGAGGAACTTTAAAATTTTTTTTATTATTATTTTGACAGAAACAATGTTAACTTTTTTTCATCTGGAGTCCCTGGATTCAAAAACAACAAATACCAAACAATTCAAATACAACTATACCCCAAAAAACTAGTGAGAGATAAAGTTAGCAAGTGCAAAAGAAAGTAAGAAATATCTAAACGTCTTTGATATACAGCAGCAGCATGATTATAAAATAAAACAAGAAATAAATACTGATGAGTGTTATACACTTTCAAAATGTTTGTTCATGCAGTTTAATTAATTATGTCTTGTTTTTTTTTTCTCTGCAGATATTCAAAGCGCCAACACCACATGCTGAAGTTGTCATTGTTCGCTTCCCTTTTAGTCAAAAGGCAGTTTCGAAGTGTGAAAAGCATCCATGAAAACACATCAGTCACATTGGTATAAATCACACAGAGAAAAGTGTTAATTCCCACAGTGTCGCAGAGCGGAGGCTTTCCGAGAAGTCAAGACCCACTGGGGCCACTTTTCAGCCAAAATGGATACACCGCAGAGCTGTTGCATCAGGCAGCCATATAAAATAGAAAACAAAAATAAAAAAAAGGCTTCAAGAAAAAAACGTTAAAAAGTCACATTTTTAAGAGGAGCAGAAGCTGGAAAAAGTTTTTTTCCTCATACTTTTGGGGTTATGCCAAATAACTCTTAGTTATTTAACCACGTATGAGAGAAACTTTATTATCAGACGCCTGCATACCTCTGTGTTTTATTCATTGTAAAATTTTAATAGCAACTGTTACTGCAGGATAAATTTCACAGTTTTATGTTTCTGATGCAACCTCAAATGTGCTTCACATTTCTCAATGTTCCCCCTGCTGTGCTGCTGCAAACACTTTGGAGCTTTTATATTAATGAAGAGGTTCTTACCTTATTAAAAGAAGAAAAAAGGGAAAAAGAGAAGGAGACTTCCAGGTTAAGATTTCCCTAACAAAAAATCCTAATGATGCACAGTAAAATTTGACACCAGATTCTTTCTTTTTGTCCTTCGGGGTCGACCTGATAAGACTTTTTCTGTTTCAATCCACCAGAATACAGAGATTATTCTCACTTAGAGTCAGGCCCTGAAGAAATTCTGTGGAATTGCGGTAGTGGCTTATCATAAGCACTGTGATCTACAAAAGCAAAGCAGAAAAACAAAAACAAACCCCTACCATTCATCACCAGCTTTGCGTCACTCTCATCAAAACTCCTACGTCTTTAACATGGATTGATTTCTAAGTCCTCTTATCTTTTTCACAGCGCTTGTTGTTTGAGCTTAGGAAACCCTCTTGATGATTTTTGAAGCATTTCATTTTAACATCAGTGAGAGCACAGAGACTAACTCACATTCTGGCCCTGCGGTGGCTGTGGTGTTTAAGTCCACTTCCTTTGATGCAGCCGTTCCTGTCGACGCTGTCCACCTTCATGTCAGCAGTTTTCAGATCGTCTGTCTGAAGCGGCTGGTAGGATGTTGTTGTTTCTGAGCTGCACAGGAAACAGAAAAGAAAAAAGAAAAGAAAGAAAAGACACATTTAGACAGAAACGTTTTTTTTTTTTTTTTTTTTTTGTGCTTCAGCAAAATGTCAACATTTGTGTCTTTTTTCTTAGTCTGCACAAGCCTGAAGCTTATATGAGACAACAGTGAAAAAGAGGATTTAGCTTGCTAGGTAAATGTTATTCCCTCCAGTCTACTGGTCTTATGTTTTAGTCCCCACCTTTTCTTGTTGGAAGTTAATCTCCGGGAAAAACTGAGGTCAGTGAATTACAAGTCAAACTAATACATCAGTTGAAATGCAGTTATGTAAATGCTTCAGCTGCTTTGACATTTTCGGTATTTTTGCTTTTTGTTTCCAAGTAGAGGTGACGCAAGTTGTAGAAATGGATTAAATTCTTCACGTCTCGACTGTTTGTTTTTTTATTTATTATTGAACATAGCAAAAAAAATTATTTGAACAGCAAGTTTTCTTTAGCTAGTAAAGTAAAATCATGAAATATTTTTTTTTGTAGTTTCAGTGGTTTAACTGAATGTATGACGTAACAGTTGTTAGAAATGCTACCTCACAGCAGGAAGGTTCAGGGTTTGAATCCCAGACAGTTGCTTTTTGCATGGAGTTCGCAAATTCTTACTAAGTGTATCAAAAATCAAAGTAAAGTAAAACAAATTATTTCCTGCTTCTACGTATTACTGCAAAAAATCCTTCCACAAACAATGTTCATCCACAAATGATTTGATAAATTGAGTTATTTGATGTGGGCCCGCAGTTGAAGCCCTGATAAACATTCTCTGTCTTAGTCGCGAGAGATTTTGACGGTAATTACAAACTCTCCTCTTCAGCGAGTAGCTCCACTCTGATTGTAATGAGAAGATAATCAGAGCAAGAGATTAGTCCATCAGCATCGTCTCTTCCACTTCCCCCTGCACCGAGCAGGCAGGAGCCGTCGCTTTCTATCTTCCTCGCCTTCATTTTCGGGGGCCTCTCGGAGTCAGAGGAAGTGCCCCCTGACAGGGATCTAATAATGTAAAACGGCAGACTGCGTGCTTCGACATGATCCAGGGTGGGGAAGGTGTTAGGGGAGATAAGACAGCCACCAGAAGGATGATTAGTCTGATCAAGGAGGCTGATGAGGAAGACAACCTTTAAACAAAATGGTGATTGGACAAATTTCTCCTTGTAGGGCCAAATAAACGTCTGAAATGGAAAAATAAAACGTTTAAGTAGATTACATAAGTATTTAATGGATGTATACATACGTTTAGTTTTAAATGTTTCACCCTAGTTCTGTAATGAGCTTGGGAATGGTGGCTAATATTGCAATTTTATTCAGATAATAAAATCTGAAGGTAAGTTTTTTTTTTAATCTCATTATTAAAAGAAAGTTGTATTAAAGATATTAAAATCCTATTCCATCCATCCATCCCTCCATCCATCCATCCATCCATCCATCCATCCATCCATCCATCCATCCATCCATCCATCCATCCATCCATCCATCCATCCATCCATCCATCCATCCATCCATCCATCCATCCATCCATCCATCCATCCATCCATCCATCCAGCCTTTCAGCTAGCTAACTATAAAGCTAGCAAGCTAGTTAGCGGCTTTTAGGAAATTGCAAGAAATTCAGAAAGATTAAATTCAAATATACTTATTGGTCCCAAAGGAAAATTAAAAGATGTTATTACTCGGAGTTTTAAGCCAAATTAGTTGCAATTGACATTAATTACCTACCAAGAACTTAAAAAATAATCAACTCAAAAGAGTGAAGAAGAGATGGTTTATTCTGGCCTCTCAATGCTGGTATAATTTACTGCACCACTCATTAATAAATACTTCTCTGAGAAATATTGTCTACAATCTTTTCTCCTCACTTAATCTATTAGCATTTAGATTTGATTCATTTGAGTTTGCATAAAATTGTAATAATAATATTCTGCAATATTGAATGTTCCTGTTAATTTTTCCACATTATTGGGAAAAATGGGACTGTGGAATGAATCCTCTTGAAAACGTTTTTATTTTATTTTAGCAAATATCATTGCCTGGACCAGCGTCGCACCATTTTGTTTCACTTTCTTTCAAATATTATTTTATTTCATCTCTTCATCATAGCAGCTATGACAGAACAATAAAACACCATTTTAAATATTTTCCAATTTGCTGTTAAAAGTGGTGTTACCATTAAAAGAGGGAGGTTTAATTGAATGTCTTTGTTTTTTCTGGATGAAGATGTTTAATTATGTTACAGCCAGTAGAAATAAAAGCTGCTTGCTTCCTGTGAACATCTGGACAATATACACACAATTATCTTGACAAAGAAGAAGAAAAGGAAAAACATTTGCTGAGAAAGGTTTGCTTTGTGGAGCTGAATAAAGACAGAATGGAAAGTGACCCAAAGGTTTCTCCTTTTATTCGACTTCTTTCTGCTTTTTTGTTATGTGCGACTAGTTTAGGAGTAGCAGTTGATGACTTCTAAATGAAATCAATTTCAACAACAACAAATGTTTGCCCCTTCAATCTGGCCTTTGATGTTTATACCCTGAACCTTTCAAGCCATAAACACTTTTTGTATCTGTTCAGCAAATCCCTTTCTTTCACCTCTCCCTCATTCACACACAATATTGTATACATCCACTTCCTCCAGTCTCTCAGGCAGCTAGAAGTGCCGGAGGGGTCAATGCGAAGCACGTAGCTGACAAAAAGGCTTTAAACGAATGCAAGTAGGGAGCGGATTAAATGACAGCTCGCTTGATGAGGAAGAATTATGTGGACACTAATCCTGGAAAATCCAGGCAGGGTTTGTTTACCATGAAACTGCTAGAAACAGGTAAAAAGTGAGAATGTGGGATCAAGTCAGCCCCGATCCGGAAATACAGCTCGGCAGAAATGTGTGCATGGAAAAGTGCAGACATGGGAAAACGTTCCCACTTTCTGACTTTTTGACCCCTTTCTCTGAGAAGATGAGTCACGCTTTACGAGCACACCTCCTTCTGTGATGAGAAATACTTTGAAAAAAAGAGAAGTGATCATCCTGTCACTTCCTCTTGTTCCAGCCTTTGTCACAAGGGCAGAGTCCACCTCCTCCCAGTGTGATGCTCCTCTCTGCTTCTTCCCTCACCGCTGACGCTGACAAAAAACAGATGGCTCCAAATCGCGCAGCACACAGGACAGAGAGAGTGGGATTTTTTACCTCAGTGTGTGCTAACGCCTGCCTAACTTAGCCAAACATGCTTACATATCATCACTTTTGGCAAATATATTTCTACACTTTCAATTCACACTTGAACGTGTGATATTCCTGTTGTGCATGAATCAACTTTCAGTTAAACCTAAAGTTACTTGTTGTCTTATTTATTTCATACAATACATTCCAGTTGTCAAAGTTTGAAGATTTGACCATCAGTACCAGATGAATCTATTGAAGCATTAATAGGTATAAAATACCTATTAATTGAAGATGTTTAATTATGTTACAGCCAGTAGAAATAAAAGCTGCTTGCTTCCTGTGAACATCTGCATAATATACACACAATTATCTTGACACAGAAGAAGAAAAGAAAAAAAAAAAACATTTAGAGAACATAAATATGTTCTCTAAATGTTTCACCACTTTTATTATTCCATGTTACAAAAATGAGAGCCTTTTTCATTCTGTAGGATAACTGCATTGCTTCAAATGGTTGTTTGTCCTATTCCTTTTGGGAATATTCCAATTCGGATTTCAGAAATCCACTAATATTGATGCTTTTAAAGCAGCTGCAGCTTTTAATTCCTTAATATTGAGAAAAATCACACCACTGAACTGTTTTAGAAAATCATTTAAACAAAGGCTTCTAAACAATTAAAACTGCATTCATGTTTTAAATTAAGATATTTGAGTTGCTATATGTTTTTTATATGATTGTGAAATTGTTTTTATAATTGCAACTAGTAAAATTACTCAGCATTTCTTTTAATTTGCTGGAAACTATGTGTTTGTCAATATGTGTGTCAACTGTGTTTGTTTTTAACCATCAACCTGCCAGGAGACTACATATAAAGCTTAACCCTGTTGGATAAATCTGGTATCATGTTGATTATTTAATAAATTTCTATTCATTTTATTGTAATCTTTGCAGGACTGAATTTAGAAAAGTTTGGAATATTCAAATCTCAGAAAATGTTGATGTGGTAAAATCTAATCTGTTTTCCACATACATAGAAAGCAACCAATTTTTTTTTTATATAACCAAACGAGAGAAAAATATAAAAATATAAAAAGACATGTATGATGAACAATTGATTAGCAAGATTAATTCATTCTTTAGTGATTGTCGTACAGGTGAAATTGTTAGTTTTTTAAATGCTTTTTGTGATGCTTCCAAGATTAATGAAAAGAAATGGTAGCAAAAAGCTGATTGAGAGGATCTGAAGCTTGGATTCATTGCAGGATCCGTCATTCAGAAATCCATTTAAGTTTGTGTCTCTGTTATCCCGGTTGCCATGGCATCCACACAGGTGCTCCATTGCCCTGATTGAGGTAGTAAAGACTCCTCATGCCCATGAGAGCAAGTGAATAACAAACTGTGGCAAACAAGTCAGGAAACGCACCAGAAAGGATCAATACAACCAACGGTGAAGCGACAGCACAAAAAGAACATCTGGTTCTGGATGAATCAGCTCTCACACGGTGGAAAATATATGATCTGAACCAAATCCTGTGTTGTTTATTTTTGTGAAATTTTCAAATAATACGCAGATAATAAACCAATTTAATCATTGTGTCCTGAAACTTGATGACCAGTTCGTCCAAAAAACACAAAACAAATGTTGACTCTTTCTACTCAAACATCGCTACAAGCAGTTCCTCAGTCTAACAAGCTAATTGTTCAAAAAAGGTTGCCAAACTAAACATAGTGACTTATTTATAAACTTATCACACCTCCAACCTCAGACAATGAAGAACGAGTTGTGGAGATTTAGGAGATTTCACTAAAAGTGAA